TCGCAACCCTCCCACGCCCTTGCTGGTTTGGCAAGAGGCCTAGACAAGCGCAGCCACGTGACACGGCAGAAGAAAAACGCTTGAAACAAGGGCTTCCAGCCCAAAAACGCGAAAGGATCCGCACATACGCAGTAAGTGCAGCGGGCGCTCTTTATTCGCGAGCGCCGATGATCGATGATGCTCGCAACCCTCCCACACCCCTTGCTGACTTGGTAATAGGCCCAGACAAGCGCAGCCACGTGACTTGGCGGAAGAAAAATGCTCGAAACAAGCGCTTCCAGCTCCAAAATGCGGAAGGATCCGCACATGTGCAGGAAGTGCAGCAGGTGGTCTTCATTCGCGAGCGATGATGACCGATGATGCTCGCAACCCTCTCACGCCCTTGCTGGCTTGGTAATAGGCTTAGACAAGTGTAGCCACGTGACCCTGCGGAAGAAAAACGATCGGAACGAGCGCTTCCAGCTCCGAAACGCGGAAGGATCTGCACATGTGCAGGAAGTGCAGTGGGCGCTCTTCATTCGCGAGCGCCGATGAGTGATGATGCTCGCAACCCTCCCACGCCCTTGCTCGCTTGGTAATAGCCCGGACAAGCTCAGCCACGTGGCCCGGCGGAAGAAAAACGCTCGGAACGAGCGCTTCCAGCCCCAAAACGTGGAAGGATCCGCACATGTGCAGGAAGTGCAGCGGGCGCTCTTCATTCGCGAGCGCCGATGATTGATGATGCTCGTAACCCTCCCACGCCCTTGCTGGCTTGGTAATAGGCCCAGACAAGCGCAGCCATGTGAGCCGGCGGAAGAAATACGCTCGGAACGAGCGCTTCCAGCCCCAAAACGCGGAAGGATCCGCACATGTGCAGAAAGTGCAGCGGGCGCTCTTCATTCGCGAGCGCCGATGATTGATGATGCTCGCAACCCTCCCACGCCCTTGTTGGCTTGGCAATAGGCCTAGACAAGCGCAGCCACGTGACACGGCAGAAGAAAAACGCTCGAAACGAGCGCTTCCAGCCCCAAAACGCGAAAGGATCCGCACATGTGCAGGAAGTGCAGCAGGCGCTCTTCATTCACGAGCGCCGATGACCGATGATGCTCGCAACCCTCCCACACCCTTGCTGGCTTAGTTATAGGACCAGACAATGCTCGAAACGAGCGCTTCTAACCCCAAAACGCGGAAGGATCCGCACATGTGCAGGATGTGCAGCGGGCGCTCTTCATTCTCGAGGGCCGATGACCAATGATGCTCGCAACCCTCCCACGCCCTTGCTAGCTTGGTAATAGGCCCATAGAAGCGCAGCCACGTGACCCGGCGGAAGAAAAACGCTCGGAACGAGCGCTTCCAGTTCCGAAACGCGGAAGGATCCGCACATGTGCAGGAAGTGCAGCGGGCGCTCTTCATTCGCGAACGCCGATGACCGATGATGCTCGCAACCCTTCCACGCCCTTGCTGGCTTGGTAATAGGCCCACACAAGCTCAGCCACTTGAGCCGGCGAAAGAAAAACGCTCGGAACGATCGCTTCCAGCCCCAAAACGCGGAAGGATCCGCACATGTGTAGGAAGTGCAGCGAGCGCTCTTCATTCGCGAGCGCCGATGACCGATGATGCTCGCAACCCTCCCACGCCCTTGCTGGCTTGGTAATAGGCCCAGACAAGTGCAGCCACGTGTCTTGGCGGAAGAAAAATGGTCGATACGAGCGCTTCCAGCCCCAAAACGCGGAAGGATCCGCACATGTGCAGGAAGTGCAGCGGGCGCTCTTCATTCGCGAGCGCTGATGACCGATGATGCTCGCAACCCTCCCACGCCCTTGCTGGCTTGGTAATAGGCCCAGACAAGTGCTGCCATGTGACCCGGCAGATGAAAAACGCTCGGAACGAGCGGTTCCATCTCCGAAACGCGGAAGGATCCGCACTTGTGCAGGAAGTGCAGCGGGCGCTCTTCGTTCGCGAGCGCCGATAACCGATGATGCTCGCAACCCTCCCACGCCCTTGCTGGCTTGGTAATAGGACCAGACAAGCGCAGCCACATGACCCGGCGGAAGAAAAACGCTCGAAGCGTGCGCTCCCACCCCCAAAACACGGAAGGATCCGCACATGTGCAGGAAGTGCAGCGGGTGCTCTTCATTCGCGAGCGCCGATGGCCGATGATGCTCGCAACCCTCCCACGCCCTTGCTGGCTTGGCAATATGACAACACATGCGCAGCCACGTGAGCTGGCGGAAGAGAAACGCTCGAAACGAGCGCTCCCAGCCCCAAAACGCGGAAGGATCTGCACATGTGCAGGAAGTGCAGCGGGCGCTCTTTGTTTGCGAGCGCTGATGACCGATGATGCTCGCAACCCTCCCACGCCCTTGCTTGCTTGGAAATAGGACCAGACCAGCACAGCCATGTGAGCCGGCGGAAGAAAAAACGCTCGAAACGAGCGCTCCCACCCCCAAAACGCGGAAGGATCTGCACATGTGCAGGAAGTGCAGCGGGCGCTCTTCATTCGCGAGCGCTGATGACCGATGATACTCGCAACCCTCCCACGCCCTTGCTGACTTGGCAAGAGGACCAGACAAGCGCAGCGACGTGATCCAGCGGAAAAAAAACACTCGAAACGAGCGCTCCCAGCCCCAAAACGCGGAAGGATCCGCACATGTGCAGGAAGTGCAGCGGGCGCTCTTCATTCGCGAACGCCGATGACCGATGATGCTCGCAACCCTCCCACGCCCTTGCTGGCTTGGCAACAGGACTATACAAACGCAGCCACGTGAGCCGGCGTAAGAAAAACGCTCGAAACGAGCGCTCCCACCCCCAAAACGTGGAAGGATCCGCACATGTGCAGGAAGTGCAGCGGGCGCTCTTCATTCGCGAGCGCCGATGACCGATGATGCTCGCAACCCTCCCATGCCCATACTGGCTTGGTAATGGGACGAGACAAGCGCAGCCACGTGACCCGGCAGAAGAAAAACGCTCGAAACGTGTGCACTCACCCCCAAAAACGCGAAAGGATCAGCACATGTGCACGAAGTGCAGCGGGCGCTCTTCATTCGCGAGCGCCGATGACCGATGATGCTTGCAACCCTCCCACGCCCTTGCTGGCTTGGTAATAGGCCCAGACAAGCGCAGCCACGTGACCCGGCGGAAGAAAAACGCTCGGAACGAGCGCTTCTAGCCCCAAAACGCGGAAGGATCCGCACGTGTGCAGGAAGTGCAGCGGGCGCTCTTCATTCGCGAGCGGTGATTACCGATGATGTTCGCAACCCTCCCACGCCCTTGCTGGCTTGGTAATAGGCCCAGAAAAGCGCAGCCACGTGACTCGGCGGAAGAAAAACGCTCGGAACGAGCGCTTCTAGCCCCAAAACGCGGAAGGATCCGCACATGTGCAGGAAGTGCAGCGGACGCTCTTCAATCGCAGTGATTACTTGGTCCAAGCAACGACTTGGTCCAAGCGAGCACTTGGCCCAAATGACGACTTGGTCCAAGCGAGCACTTGGTCCAAGTGACAACTTGGACCAAACGAGCATTTGGTCCAATCGAGCACTTGGTCCAAGCGAGCATTTGGTCCAAGTGACGACTTGGTCCAAGCGAGCACTTGGTCCATGCGAGCACTTGGTCCAAGCGAGCACTTGGTCCAAGTGACGACTTGGTCCAAGCGAGCACTTGCTATGGGAACCTTTTTGCACAAAGAGAAGGGTGGAGAGAGTAGAGTGATTAAGAGTTTGGTTTATCATAGGAGTACACAAATCCTTCCAATGTTCTTAGTGCGTGTATGGAGCTGAAATATCACTTGTTGGATTGTTTCTGTTGCCTGCTGCTCCGTCAAAATATGCTGCTGCCATTGGTCCGAAACCACTCGAGCAGGATCCTAATGGACATTTCAGACTGAGCGGACGTGGCAAATTCTGACGATTTTCCAAAAAGTTGGCATTATAATCTCGTCAACCCGTTAGATGTGTGGCTGGTGCCTTCACCGATGCGCTGACGGGAGAAGCGCTGGGGGAAACAGTTGCCAGAAAAGGTGACAGTTTGTGAAGCGTCTTCTACCGAGGGCACCTCGCCCATAACGCACTGCTCGGTTCATCACCACAACCCTGGTTTCTGCTGCTGACCGGCTGTTCCTTGGCGTGTCATCTTTTTGATCTCGCAACCGGTCCGTCAATTCTCTTCTGGCAAGCAGACTGCTCCGACCGACTAGCAGCTCCCATGCTGCTTGCATCTTTTCTTTTTCATGCTCTTGTTCCAATCCACCCATCCATTTGTCCATCCGCATTACCGTACCGTACCATTCGTTTTCCCCCCTTTTTCTGTCATTTTTGGCCTTGAAAACTATGACCATCTGTCAGAGAGAGAATTGTCCTCTCACGCGTCCAGATTTGGCAGCAACGTTTTGCTCCCCATCAACCTAGCCCAGCGCAGCGTCGCTGATACTAGGTTTCTCAGGCAACCGGTTCCGCTGCAGTGCGTCAGACTTTTTCTCGTGCCGTGGCTGCTATCGTTAGGTTTCCGGGCCTCACGTGCCATCACTGGTTGATGCGTTCCTGATACGTGCCATGGGGACTCGTGTCGGAATCTCAGACCGTTCGATTGCCATCACAAGTTCCGTTTCAGGTAATCGCCGACGCACTGTTGTTCTCATCACTGCTCCTACTCTCCTATCCTACGCGCTGACGCCGTATCAGATTCTCTGCATACCGTCGATGCACTTGACGAATATGCCATACCGTTCAGTCAAAACGCTACGCTAAGCATTCGCCTCTCGTGCATTTCCGGTCAATGTTTCGTCAGAGTCTTATATCGGAAAGATCCCGGTCTTTCATCCGTATAAACTTCCGTTTTTCACTGCCGGACCCTGTTTTTAGGTTATCTTGTACGTCAGGTGTGATTTTCTCTGATAGGTGTGTGTATCTTAAGTTTTCCTAAATCCACCTGTAACAGTTTGTTCCCGCACAATTTGCTCCCCCACCTGCTTTGACTCTGGTTCTTTATTCAATGCACTGCTGCTGACCATTCACCTCCCACGCCAGAGCTTACTGGATTGCGTCCTAGCCTCCTTCCAGCTCGCCGAACCACGCAACAGACCAAGAACTCAGGTTCGGGACGAACGCGGCAACGCAAATCGCAATGTCGGTCTGCTGCTGCATCAGCAACAACAGCAGCAGCTGATTGTTCTGCATCAAACGGTCAAGATTTCGCGAGGCAGAGATCCGGATGGCTGAATGGCCGCGCGTGCCTGATTTGCGCTGCACAGGGCTGCGTGTCGTGCGTCGGCGTAGCTCCACGTGTCACCCTCCCTTCACCAGTACGCACTTGTCAATCCTTCCTCAAATCAACATTCTGGCAAACTACTGTTTAATCAACGGCTTTGCCTTTGCAGTCAAACATTCTTGCCTATTCTCCCCGTTTGTTGCCCTTACAGGGATGTCGTAGGCGTTACTCCCGCAGACACGTTCTCGCGCGAGGATCCCAAGGCTCTGCAGGGGAGAGATTCTTAGAGTCGGAATCGGGAGGGTCGGGGGGAAGCAGTGTAGCAGGCGGTAGTAGCGCCAGCGCGAGCAGCGGAGAATCGGTCATAGCGGATTCAAATAGCAGTAATGATGGGGAGACGGATGGGAGTGGTCGAGTCAGCAGCAGCAGGGACAATGTCAGCAGCAGTGGCGTCACAGGAAATTTAGGCAGTGGGATAGCGAACTCGAACGGGACTGGTAACAGTAACGGAAATGGCGCTTTAGCCTCGTTCAGCACTGCAGGGTACCCAGGTGGCGCAGTTGGTGATTCGCCTTCTTCCGCTGCTGCTGCTGAGTCTGCGTCTGCCGCTGCACCCCCGGCGGTTACTCCAGACACTCTATGGGAGGTGAGTGTGTCCCAAGGGGAGGCAAATTAGAGAAGCGGGGTGCGGGCGAGGCGAGAGTGCAGGAAATATGGGGTGCTGGGCGCTCCTGGGTCAACACCGTTGTTGCGTGATTTTGTTATGCCTATGCTCTTGCCCTGAATAGATTGGGTCGTTGAGATGACGCACCGTTTCTTGGCTTCGAAACCCACTGACCCATGCGCGTGGAATGTGGGGTGGGTATGGGCATGGGGATGCTTTTGCTGCTGCCGCTGTTACAGGAGCTGCTGCCGTGCATCACGTACCTCTCCCCCACGCAACTGCAAGTCGTCCGCCACGCCTTGAGAGTGAGTCAACTCTCAACTTACTGCTGTCAACTTCATGGAACAATTACCCCGCTGTTTGTTTCTTGCATAGAGTTGCTCTCTTTGCGCGCTCTTCGCGCTCCCTTGGCCCTCTTTGTCACGCTCTGAACCTCTCGTCCCGCTGCTGCTGCTGCACGTCTTGTTTTGGAATCCCTTCTCTCCGCCATCACACCTCCTGCGCTCCTCCCCTTCTCCCCCCCCACCCTATGTGCGCAACCATAACGGCATGCTGTGTGTGTGGTCAGCTGGCGTACAGGGCGCATGACGGGCAGAAGAGGAAGAGTGGAGAGCCCTACATCATACACCCTGTGGAGGTCGCCCGGATACTGGGCCAGCTGGTGGGTTGGTGGTGTGATGGTGGTGTGTTGGTGGGGTTGGTGGTTTGGTGGGTTGCCGCATCTGGCGCACACATACAAAGCGCTCGCACACGCATACATGCATGCACAGAACAGGCACTGCAAGAAGAGAAATCGCCACGCTTGTTGCACATCACCTTCCTCTTCCCACCTCGCCAGGAGATGGACTGGGAGACGGTGGTGGCGGGGTTGCTGCACGACACGGTGGAGGAGGGGCCATGCAGGAGGCGATTGTGACGCCTCTTTCGCACCCGCCAATCCTCCCTTCCTTTGATCCAGGCCATGCATGGGCTAACGTCGCAGCTCCCCTCCCCCCACGCCCGCCCCTTGCTTGCTATTAGGAGATGGACTGGGAGACGGTGGTGGCGAAGTTGCTGCACGACACAGTGGAGGACACGGACGTTCATTGGCTAATCATTACACCTCTTCCCCCACTCACCCGCCCCCTCTCTTCCCTGCTCTCTTCCTTCCTCTCCTTGTGCGCGAAACCCCTTGCTATACAGGAGATGGACTGGGAGACGGTGGTAGCAGGGCTGTTGCACGACACGGTGGAGGACACGGACGTGGTGTCCTTCGAGCAGATCGAAGCCTCGTATGGGCTAATGTCGCGCTTCCCTCCCCCCACACCCGCCCCTTGCTTGCAATCAGGAGATGGACTGGGAGACAGTAGTGGCGGGGCTGCTGCACGACACGGTAGAGGACACGGACGTGCAAGGATTTACTGTCACCCTTTCCCCAACACCCTCCCCCTCTTCCCTCCTCTCAAACTACCAGGAGATGGACTGGGAGACGGTGGTGGCAGGGCTGTTGCATGATACAGTGGAGGACACGGACGTGGTGTCCTTTGAGCAGATCGAGGCCTCGTATGGGCCGGCCGTCAGGCGCATTGTGGAGGGCGAAACCAAGGTGCGTCACGAAAAGTGTGTTCACCAGGACACGGACGTGGTGTCCTTCGAGCAGATCGAGGCCTCGTATGGGCCCGCTGTCAGGCGCATCGTGGAGGGCGAAACCAAGGTGCGTTCTGAGCTGTGTGGAGGGGGAGGAGTTGGAGGGAGACATTACGGTGCATGGCTGGAAAGGGAGCACTCGTAGGGTAAAAGCAAGGTGCGTGGCTGGGGGAAAGGAGGAGGAGGGTGGAGGGCGACAGCAAGGTCCGTTCCACTCTGCTCTCCCAGCCCTGCTGCTGTGTTGCCTCCAACCTCTGCATATGCCCGCTCCCCTCCCTGTGCGCCTGGCTGGCAGGTGTCGAAGCTGGGCAAGGTGAAGGACGGCAGCAAGGCAGACGTGAAGGCTGACGATTTGCGCCAGATGTTCCTCGCCATGACAGAAGAGGTGGGTGTGGGCTGAGTTCTCTGAGCTAACGTTGGTGGTGTCTCAGGAGTTTGCTTGTACGGTGGGGGGCAAAGCAGACGTGAAGGCAGGCGACCTGCGCCAGATGTTCCTAGCCATGACTGAGGAGGTGCGTGTTGGCTGGGTTGTCTGAGCTGACTTATAGTGAAGGCGTGTGATTATAGTGAATTTGGCGGACTGGCTACACAACATGCGCATGCTCACACACGTTGTGTGATTATGTCCCTTCTCCCTGTGTTTCCCTCCTCACAGGTCCGTGTGATTATAGTGAAGCTGGCGGACAGGCTGCACAACATGCGCACGCTCACGCACATGCCGCCCCACAAGCAGAAGTACATCGCTCTCGAGACCCTCAGCGTCTTTGCTCCTCTCGCTCGCCTGCTCGGCATGTACCACATCAAGGTTCGTGCTGGAGGGCTTATTTGTGCTGTGTGTGGAATGCCAGCATGCATGTGTGTTGCCGCCACGGCACAGCATGTACCACATCAGGGTGTGACTTAAGGGGGGGTGGGTGAGCTGTGTGGGACTATGTGAACGTGAGTGAGCGCATGCTGCACCTATGCACGCCTTTTGAAACGTCTCATGACCCACCCACCTCCTCCCGCCTTCTTCCATCCTCCCCTTATCAGACGGAGCTAGAGGACCTGTCATTCCGGTACGCGTATCCCGAGGAGTATCTGGATGTGTCTGAGCGCATGCTGCACCTCTGCACGCAGCAACAACCTGCGCTGGATGAGGTTCGTATCAGCGCTTGCCAAGGGGTTAGTATCAGGGGGGGGTAGTATACTGTATTGGTATACTGTATTAGTATTAGTATCAATATTGGACAACCTCGTCATTCATAGCAGCATGCCTCCCTTGTTCTGGCATCTCACTTCTAGGCACTTGCTTTCTTCTTTCTTTCCTCCGAACCCCCAGGCGCGTGTGATGCTAGAGAAGGCGATGCGAAAGGACAAGTTTTTGGATCTCATGACTTCAGGAGCGAGGGTGGAGACACGGTGCAAGGAACCGTACAGGTGAGAGATGACACGGTGCAAGGAACCGTACTTGAGAGCTGGCATGGTGCAAGGAACCGTACAGGTGAGAGATGACATGGTGCAAGGAACTGTACAGGTGGGAGATGGCACGGTGCTAGGAACCGTACTGGTGAGAGATTATGGGAGATGACATGGTGCAAGGAAGGAACTGTACCCTACGGGTAAGTCATGGCATGAGTAACCGTACACAATTAGATTAGATGTCTTCTCCGACTGCCGTTTCCCCCACCTCCTGTGAGCTTTCAAGTGACCTGAGAGCACTTCTTCTCTGCCCCTTCTCTCCCCATGCAAGAAAGAAGGTGGTGGTGGAAACAGCAGACAAGGTGGAGGAGATCCACGAGATCAACTTCCTCTCTGCTTCATCTCCTTCTCTCTCCCTCATCCCCACGCCTCCTCTTCCCCTCCCTTCCCCATGCAGCATATTCAGGAAGGTGGTGGAAACAGGCGCCAAGATGGAGAAGATCCACGGGTTGAGTCTGCTCCCTTCTCCCTGCTCCCTCCTCTCTGCCTTATCCGCATTCCTCCTCCCCTACCCCTCCCCTCTCGCAGCATATTCAAGAAGGTGGTGGAAACGGGCGCTAAGGTGGAGGAGATCCATGAGATCTCGCAGATCCGCGTGGTGCTCTCAATGGACGATGCTGCTGATCAGCAGGACAGCAGCTCCCGCAACATTGCACAGCAGGTCAGTAGTGAGGGATGTGTGGGGTTATGGGGAAGACGAGGGGAGGAGGGGGAATTAGGGGGAGCGGAGGGGCAAGATCTCGCGTGGTGCTCTCCATGGATGATGCCGCTGACCAGCAGGACAGCAGCTCCCGGAACATTGCCCAGCAGGTGAGGAGAAAGGGAGGAGGAAGGACGAGGGGGGGACGGAGGGACTAGGGGAACAGCTGAGATCTCGCAGATCCGCGTGGTGCTCTCCATGGACGATGCTGCTGACCAGCAGGACAGCAGCTCCAGGAACATCGCGCAGCAGGTGAGGGAGGGGCGAGTGGGGACGAGTTGGGAGAAGGGCGGACGAAGGGTGAGGAGTTTGGGGGCGATCATAGGGTGTCACAGTCACTATTTTCCGTAACATGCTCCCGCATTCCTTGTACCATCCGTCTTTGCACCTCCCCCCCCCTGCAGGTGTCTTACCATGTGTTGGGCCTCGTGCATGCTCTCTGGCGCCCGCTCCCCGGAACCGTAAGCCTTTCTCTTTCTTTTTATGCTACCATCTCTCCGGTTCAGCTTTTCCCCTGCTTTTTCGCATTCACTGGCGTTCCTGCTGCCTCTTGGATTCCCCCTGGCGCCCTCTCTCTCACAAGCGCTGGTATCAGGGCCTGCACACCTCCGTGCTGCCACTGATTATTCAACCCGTGGTGTGAGGGAGGGCCTGCACACCTCCGTGCTGCTCCTCACCCATTCAACTATCCCATTCAACCAATCCCTCCTCCCCTCTCCTCCACCTGGCAGGTGAAGGACTACATAGCAGCGCCCAAACCAAACGGGTATCAGAGCCTGCACACACCACGGTGCTGCCGCTGGGAGCCTCCTCTCTTTTCCCTGTGGAGGTGCAGATCCGCACAGGTCACATGGATAAGCTCGCCGAGTGGGGTATAGCTGCTCACCACCTCCCTCCCACCCACCCTCTCCTTTCCACAGGTGAAGGACTACATAGCAACGCCCAAACCCAACGGGTATCAGAGCCTACACACCACGGTGCTGCCACTGGGAGCATCATCGCTCTTCCCCGTGGAGGTGCAGATCCGCACTGACCACATGGATAAGCTTGCAGAGTGGGGTATAGCTGCTCACCACACCGGCCGCCACCCCCACCTGCTGCTGCACGGCCAGCAGGAGGAGCAGCAGCAGGGGCAGGTGCAGCAGGGGAAGCAGATGAAGACTCAGGGGCAGCAGGGGAAGCAGGAGGGGCAGGGGCAGGTGAAGCAGCTAGCTGATGGGTCGGAGGATCTAGCAGGGTTGCTTCTTCCAGGGTTGGATTACTCAACCACAGATGATTCAGAGGGGGATAGCGACAGCTCAGGCAGTGATGACGAGCTGGGCCTTCCTCCTCTTGCCTCAACCATCAGCAGTGTGGCAGTGTGTGGGGGGGTGACTGAGACTCAGAGCAGCTGGGGCAACGACGCTGACGTGGCGAGGCGGGTGAGCTGGCTGAACTCGATTCGCGAGTGGCAGGAGGAGTTTGTGGGGGCGATCAGCGCGCGGGAGTTTGTGGATACTGTCACGTGCGACCTGTTCGGCTCGCGGATCTTCGTGTTCACGCCCAAGGGGGAGGTGAAGAACCTCCCCAAGGGCGCCACTGTGATAGACTACGCGTACCACATCCACACGGATGTGGGCAACCGAATGGTGGCCGCCAAGGTGAGCAGATAATGGGCAATCTGAGTGAAGAGCGAAGGTGCAATGGGCGAGATGTGTCTGATCATCCCTTGAGGCGCCACTGTGATAGACTACGCGTACCACATCCACACAGACGTGGGCAACCGAATGGTGGCTGCCAAGGTGAGGTGAGCAGAGAATCGTGCTATTTTATTCAGAAGCGAAGCTGAGATGAATGAGATGGGTGATGATGTGCGTGATGGCTCACTCACTGCTGCGAAGGCCACACTTGCTGCTGCGGTACACTCACAATTGCCCTCGTCCTGTCCCTCTGTCCCATCGCTCTCTTCAAATCCCTCTTTCCCAATTTCCCTCCCACTCTTCTCATCCTTTCCATTCCCGTCGCTTCCCTTCCCTCCCCCTATCGTCTCTTCCCTTCCATTCTCTTCTCTCCTTATCCCTTCATGCAACCAGGTAAATGGCAATTTTGTCCCACCCACGTACGCCCTCTCCAACGGGGAGGTCGTTGAGGTTCTCACATACAAGGTAAGTCGTGTAGGTCACGCTAGCATGCTGTTTTAAAGCACAGACCCTGAAATTCAGGGCGCAAAGTGCTGAGTATCGATCGTTATCGTGCTGACAAGCCACTATTGTCATTTTGACATGAGGAACGACCCAAGGCATTCTTCTCTCCCTGCTTCCTCGGCCCACACAATTGTTTCCATTTTCCCCAGGGCGGTTCGGGTGGTTCGCGCAAGGGCTTCAAGCAGCGCCAACAGTGGCTGCAGCATGCAAAGACGAGGAGTGCAAGACATAAACTCACCAAGGTATGGCGGGGAATCGCAGAATGATTTTTGTAGGCAACTTAGAAGGTATGCAAAGACAAAGAGTGCCAGACACACGCTCACCCAAGTGTGGAGGGTCTTGTTGTTTGCTCATGGAAGCAGAAAATAGGTGCTACCACCTGCTAACTGGTGACCGAGACCGATCATCATGTGTGGGCGCAGAGAACTGAAGGCGAGTTTTAAGAAGCATACATTTCTGATGTGTATTCACAAGCGGATCCCCTTTGTTTGCATTATGCAGTATTTGCGGGAGCAGGGTGCGTTGAATTCGCATGAGATCACGGCAGACCGAATCAACGAGTTCCTTATTGACCTGCAATCTGCTGACGCCCGCCCTGCTGCTAGTACCAGTAGCAGCAGCAGCAATACTGCCACGAGCAGCAGTAGCAGCAGCAGTGGAGGTAGCAGCGGTGGTAGCAGCAGCAGCGACTTGGCGGGTAGTAACAACGGATCGGCCACTTTGCCTCTCATTTCGGATTCCATTATTCCCACCAGCCAGCCCACTCAATCACCCTCCATACAGTCACCATCATTATCGCTCCCATTCGACTTCTCCCCATCCACCACCCCCTCAGCGGCCCCTTCCTCCCGCTCCTCCCGTCCTCGCTCATCCCCACCATCCGCCACAAAGGCTGTACCCCAAACTCCCACCAAGGGGAGGCAGGGGCGATTGGCAGTGCGAGAGGGAGAAGCAGGTACCGGGTCTAGAAAAGGGCGCTCAGGCGAAGTGGAGAGGAGTGTAGATGGTACAGTGGGCGGGAGCGAGGTGGGGCTAGGTAGGGTTGGACCCGGGGAGGTGGGATCTGAGACAGGGGCGGCTGGAAGAGGGTATCCTGCTGATGTAAGCAGCTCAGAGGTTTTGCGATTTTCTGATGACGGGGCTGCTGCTGACGTGGCGTCTGCTCGGCTGGCGGCGGGCGATGCTGACGTGTCACTGGCTAGCGCTGATGTGGAGCTGTTGGGAGGCAGGAACAGAGATGACGTGGACGGGAGTGTTGGTGCCGGGGTAGGGAGCAGAGAGGAGGGGGTAGATGAGCTAGTGTCACGGCTGTTGGAGGGAGTAGCAGGGGAAGCAGGGGTCACAGGAGGAGCATCAGGGCTACCAGGAGCAGCAAGGTTGGATGAAGGAGGGGGAGGAAGAGGGCCGAACAGCACGGAAAGAGGAACTGGAGAGGGCAATGGCGTGGCTAGTCCAGACGGAAAAGGATCTTCGCCACAAGGAGGATTGCCAGCATTAGCCCCAGCAGCAGCGCCAGCATCGCGAGCAGCTGTAGCAGGGCCAACAGCAGCAGGAGCAGGAGCAGCAGTAGGCGTTTCTAGTTGTAGAGACACATCGGTAGAGTCAGGAGGGGGGTCGGACAGAGCTGGTGCATCGGAGGGAGTGAGGGCGTCAGAGGGAGGGGGTGCGTGTGTGGATGCGTTTGCGGAGTTTGAGGAATGGCAGACACAGACCGTTGCCATGTGGCAGTTCCTGAGTGGCCGCAGAAAGGTGGTGCTGTGGCTGGCAGTGCAGTGCTACGACCGCACAGGTGAGAGTCGTCAAGTGCTTGTGATATTGTGTCTTGGTGGGTGGGGGTGTGTCAGTCAACGGCGTGATAAGCAGAAAGGTGGTGCAGTGGCTGGCCATGCAGTGCTACGACCGCACAGGTGAGCACGCTCAAGTGCTTTTGTTTGATGTTATAGAATGGGTGAGTGTAGTCACGTGCTTATGACATAAGCTGGTGGGTGGTGAGGGAACGTGTTGGACAATGACGTGATAAGCAGAAAGGTGGTGCTGTGGCTGACTATGCAGTGCTAAAACCGTACAGGTGAATTCAGAAAAGGGTAAAGGCTTTTGTGCAATCCCGCTCTTTCTTATCCGCCCCTCTTACCTGCATCCCTGCCCCGCTGCTGATTTTGTTTTGAGGCGCCCTCAAAACTGAGTGCAGAAAAGGGTAGGGGCTTTTGTGCAGTCCCGCTCTTCCTAATCCGTCCCTCTTATCTGCACCCCTGCCCCGCTGCTGATTCTGTTGTTTCCATGTGCGTCTGCAGGGATGCTGGCAGAAGTCTCCAAGATAGTGACGGATTCCGGCATGCTCATCTGCACACATGCGGTAAGCTGGGTCCGCAGTTTTTGATGTCCCCCCCCCCCCCTCCTGGCCCCCTCCCGCTTTTCCCGTTGTTTTTTTTTCCTTTGGGTTTCTTTCCACGTTGCTTCACCCTAATCCCCACTTGAGTACCTACGTCTCCCATCTTCTCTTTATTTTTTTTTCTGGAATAAGTTTCTGATTATCCCCCCTTGCTCTTATTGCTGCTGCGCTCTTTGCTTCCCCGCACCACCACCAACAGGGGCGCACCAACCAGGAGGCCGGCACGGGAGTAATGTTGTTCGAGGTCGACGGGCTGGACCCTGATTTCGTAAGTGCAATGCATGCAATCCATTCTTCCTTTGAGGCGCCTCAAAAGTCGGCTGATTTCGTAAGTGCAATGCATGCAATCCATTCTTCCCCACCACCTCCCCACCACATCCCACACCACCTCCCCACCACATCCCACACCACCTCCCCACCACATCCCACATCTTCACCCCACCACATCCCACACGACCAACCCACTCTTCCCCCCCATCCCACACTTCCTCCCGTTTTTTGTGTCTTCCTCGGGCCTTATCCATCTTCCTCTCCTTAGCTTCCTTGCATGAGCTCTAGTTAGGTGATGCTGGTCTAGGGTTTTGGCTTGGCCCCAACATAACCTACCCTTCTCCTGTTTCCTGCTTAATTGCTCCCATCCATCCTCCACTCTTGGGTGTTTCAATCACGCCGTGCCGACATGGCATTGCACGGCATGGCATGGCACGTAATGGCATGGCGTGGAATGGCAGGGTGTGATAAGTGATAAGCTGCTGGCGGTGGACGGTGTGCTCAGCTTCGCCCTTGGCTGCACCCTTGCTAACTCGTCGCGCTTTTGGCCCTGGAGCAAGTGACATGCTGGGAAGGGGTGTGGTGCAATCGAGATGGTGAAGAGGTGTGGAGCAAGTGACATGCAGTGAGACGGTGTGCTGAGCTTCGCCCTTGGCTGCATCCTCACTAACTCCTCCCGCTTCTGGCCCTGGAGCAATTGACATGCGGTGAAGGGGTGTGGAGCAACAACACATGCAACTGGCCAAGGGACCTTTAGCAATGAGACATGCAGCGACTTGGCGTTGAGTGATGAACAAGACATTCATCTGAGTTAGTGCCGCCAAACGAGTGTCTCCTAAGTGACCCCGTCAACCTCTCTTCGTGTTCGGGCCTGGAGCAGGCGTGTGTGGTGTGGTATGATGCAGTACAGTGCGGTGAAATGACTTGCAGCTGAACCCTCGTGGGCTGGTGACATGACGTGATGCCGTGGATTCGATTTGATGTGCCACACATAGAAGGGAACGCCCACTTGTGTGGCATGATGTTAGTCGTAACACCATGCTTTGCTGTGCCACACACCAAGACATCGTCCATGCATCTAACACTGCACAAGTCACATCACATGGCAAGTGACACACTGACACTGCTCAGCTGTGTTGTGCGTGAAAGTGAATGAACTAGAGGGCTGAGGCTGTAAGGTAGAGGACATGATGGGGATGTGATCTGTGTGATGTTGGGTGTCATCTTATACAGTACAGGCCTTCGGGATTGGGTGTGGGATAGGCCTCAAAACATGAGTGAGACTTGCGGGGGCAGGATAGTCATGAATAGGCGACAGGAATCTTGGCAAGGCGCCGCAGTGAAAAGGCATGCTGCATCGCATGCCTATTCTAGGACAAACTTTTACTGAGGATAAGGAAAATATATGTACCGTAAGGTATCTGACATGGGAGAAACTGTCCATTTGTGGGATTTGTACAATTTCAGTTATCTGAGAAATTTGTGTGAAGTTACTCTCTGGCACACTGTGAAGGAAGAACCCTAAAACGAGTACAGTACTTCAACAATCCCCCCGCCACCTTCAAATTACCTGCGGAGAGATTTTTGATAACTGTGGTCTGGTCATCACATTTTGCTGCCCAGTGACCAGTCCCCATCGCCCCTGCCATTTCTTCCTCCGCCATGCCGCTTTCGCGAGCTTGCGCTGCCGCCCTCGCCCCCTCCCCCGCCTATTTCACTTGCGCCAATTCGCTCCCCGCATTCCTTCCGCGCGCTGCTGCGCCTTCCGCCGTTCCGCTCCGCATCACCCCAACTCCCACCAGCCCGCCCACCTCCGCATCCGACGGTCTAAGCTCGCTTCTGCGTCGCGCAACTAGCCCCGCGCAGCGCGCAGTCTTCCGCGCGCGATCTTGCGTCCCGCGCGCAATGGCATCCGCGGAAGTGGTCCCCGCGGTGATAATCGGCGCGGGGCGCGTGGGGCAGGCGCTGGAGAAGATGGGCGGAGGGCGGGACGTGGTGGTGCGGCGGGGGGAGAAGGTCCCCGAAGGCGGGGAGGGACCGATTATCGTGTGCACGCGGAACGATGCTCTTGACGCGGTCGTGGATGCTGTGCCGGAATCCAGGCGGCAAGGTAAGCTGAAGATGTCTAAATTGAGGCGAGAAGGTACATTGGGATCCCCCCGAGGTTGGTACATTATCGTGTGCACGCAGAACGATGCTCTTGGCGCTGTCGTTGATGCTGTGCCGGAATCCAGGAGAGAAGGTAAGCTGTAGGTGCCTGAATTGACGCGAGAAGGGACATTGGGATGTCTCCGAGGGGGGTACATTATCGTGTGCACGCGGAACGATGCTCTTGATGCGGTCGTGGACGCCGTGCCGGAATCCAGGAGAGAAGGTGAGTGGATATGCCCGGATCCCTGGCTCGCTTCGAAGGGTCTGCAAGTCGCCACGCAGGCGCTCGTGTCCGTTGCCGTGGCCAAGGCGGGCTGCATGCTTGTGTATCGACCCCCCTCTCCCTGTCCCCCCCCTGTTCCCTCCCTCGCTCCCTCCCTCCTTCCTCCTGCAGACCTGGTCTTCATCCAAAACGGCATGCTCGACTCGTGGCTCGCCTCAAGAGGCCTCCAGGACGCCACGCAGGCGCTCGTGTGCTTGGCAGTCGCCAAGGCGGGCTGCATGCTTGTGTATCAATTTCCATTCTTCCCTCCACATATCCCCTCCACCTCATTCCTCCCTCCTTCCTCCTGCAGACCTGGTGTTCATCCAAAACGGCATGCTCGACCCGTGGCTCGCCTCAAGGGGCCTGCAGGACGCCACCCAAGTGCTCGTGTATTTCGCCGTGGCCAAGGCGGGCGACCCTCCTCTGGACGGCATCACGGACGTCAATCCCGAGGGGCTCACTGCTGCCACCGGCAAGTGGGCTGAGGCCGTTGCGGCTAGGCTCAAGTCTGCAGGGCTCAGCTGTAAGGTGAGAAAGAGAGATTAAATGCATTTCTAATGGTCACTCAGGGATCCCGCTTTTGGATGGCATCACGGACGTCAATCCCGAGGGGCTCACTGCCACCACCAGCAAGTGGGCTGAAGCCGTTGCTGTGAGGCTGAAGTCTGCAGGGCTCAGCTGCAAGGTGAGAGGGGGAAGAAAGTAGAGCCTCTTTCAAGCATAATGACAATCCCGAGGGGCTCATTGCTGCCACCGGCAAGTGGGCTGAGGCTGCATCTGCAAGGCTTGAATCGGCTGCACTCAGCTGCGAGGTGAGAAGTGAAGACATTGTTTCCAACTCTTCCCTGCCTAACTCTTCCAACTGTGACTGCAGGTGCTCTCCCCGTCAGCCTTTTGCCGGCCGCAACTCGAGAAGCGAACGTGGATTTGCGCGTTCATGGTGGTGGGAACAAGGAATGGCGGCGTCACATCCCCTTCCATTACCGCGTGCCTCTTCTTACCACCCTTGCCTTACCCTTTCCTCCTCTGATGCTACCAACGCAGGTGCTCTCCCCGTCGGCCTTCCGCCGGCCACAACTGGAGAAGCTGATGTGGATCTGTGCGTTCATGCTGGTGGGAGCGAGGAATGGCGGTGTCACAGTGGGGGAGGTGGAGAGCCAACACAGGGAGGCTGTGGCCCTGCTCATTAACGAGCTTGCTGCTGCTGCTGTGGCGGCTGGTGCTGTGGATGGGTTTGACGAGGGGTTGGTGGAGCGACTGTGTGCGTACGCTCGCTCGGTCGCTCACTTCCCCACTGCTGTTAAAGAGGTACGGTTGTTGTTGCTGCTGCTTCTGCTGCTCCTGACACAGCACATAGCACACAGCACACAGGGAGGCCGTGACCCTGCTATCAACGAGCTTGCTGCTGCTGCTGTGGCGGCTGGCGCTGTGGATGGGTTTGACCAGGGGTTGGTGGAGTGTCTGTGCGCTTATGCCCGGTCCGTGGCACACTTCCCCACGGCTGTTAAAGAGGTACGTTTGCTGCTGCTGGTGCTGCTGGTGCTGCTGGCACGGCAGACAGCTGTTAAATATGTAACACTTCTCATAGCATGGTACGGCTCGTCGAATGAGCCCTTTGGTTGTGTCTAGAGACATCGGTTTTGCCATGTAACACCTCTCACACACACCTCCATTATGTAAGCGGTTTTAGTTCCACATTATGCCACGTCATTTGACACGTCTTCTAGTGTTGCTCCTTACTATCACATGCCCCAAATGCCCCCATGACTCCCATTCTCCCCGTGGCCCCGTGTTACACATCCCATGTCCCCCATGTCCCCCATATCCCCCATGTCCCCCATGTCCCCCATGTCCCCCATGTCCACCATGGCCCTATTCCATCGCATGTCTGTCATACCGCCCATGTCCCTTCCATGCCTGCTATTCCCTTCCCCACAGTTTGAGTGGCGCAACGGCTGGTTCCACAACATGTCAAAAGCTGCAGTGGCTGCTGGCAAGCCGGACCCTTGCCCTCTGCACTCTGCTTGGTTGGCGGAGTTGGGAGCTGCCCCTCTTCCACAATGAGTGCGTTGCGTAACATGACAAGTTGCAAATTGCTATGAGCTAGGATGTCCTTTTGGTATCGTTATTTATTACCGTACGGTAATATGCTGAGGAGCCGTGCATGTTGCTTTCAAATACCAAGATATCACCGCAAATAAATGAGATGTACGGTAGGTGTTGAGAGAGCTGATTGATATGTATTAATTGAGCTGATTTACTTTCCTTTTTCAATGTAATGTGAAGCATACTAGACTACCCTCTCATTTTTCAATGAGTGTTCTCATGCAGGGGAACTTTGTGAGTGTGGTCAGCGGTGGAGATGCTTTTGCTGGATTGCGGGCTGAAAAGTGAACATCGTTCGCCAATGAGGAGGTCCCAAGATTGTCAATCCACGGCCCGTGGCCTCCGGAGTGCCACCTCACTGTTCTTCCCTGCTTACGTGCCTGGCTTTGATTCATCCCCCAACCTTTAGGACCCCCACAAACTTGCGGCATGGGTGACCAAGCCAGCTAGTGAGCAAATCGAGCGTCTAAGCCATTAGATGGTGCATCATTGCCGTTCCGAACACATCCGACCGTTGTCGTTGGACCTTGAATGTGGAAAGGTGTGTGGGTCAGCTGGGCAAAACATCAGATTGTTCTAGTGCGTCTCAAAAACAAGGCAACTATTGCAGCATTGATTTGCAGTCACTCAGTGAGACTTCAGAAACTAACAGCTAGTCTGGTTCTCAGCTTGGCTTGCAGTTAGCTTCATTACGTTTTACGGCAACCATGGCTGCCACCATGACCAGCTGCGTGCTCTCTTCCGCCGCGTCCCTCGCTGGCTGCCAAATTGCGGCTCCCCGTCAACAGCAGACTGTCAGGCGGTCAATGGCCGCTGTCCGCTGCGAGGCGGCGTCATCGGACGACAAGCACGTCGTGTCCCGGCGATCAGCCACTGCTCTCGGCCTAGCTGCCCTTCTCGCTGCTATCCCCGCTTCTTCCGCTTCCGCTAAAGACATCCCCATTTTTGGCATTAGGAAGAAGGCTGTTGAGGAGGAGGTTCCCGCTGCTGCTCCAGTGGCTGCTCCCGTGGTTGCCTCGTCTCCCGCTGCTCCCGTTGTTGCTCCCTCCGTCGGTGTCCCAGTAACGTCAGAGAGCGACATTCCCGCTGAGACCCAGGCTGTCGCCGTTGCTGCCGTGGAGGTCGTTGCTGTGCTTACCGCTGGCGCCATCGTCAAGTCGGTGACTTCTTAAGAATGTCGATATATAAGAGAAAACCGTGTACCTACACTTATGTTTAATTATATCCCAATTCCACTTGCATTTTCGTGTGGCTGCTGTGGTGTTTGTTGGGGATTCTACGGGGCGTAACCGTAAATTCCCTGTGGCACATCAGGCATAAGTACTTGTTCCACAGCCCCACGGCCCCTAGTGGCGTCTCCGTTTCGAGCAGTGATTTGAGGGAACTATGGCTGGAGGTGCATGTTCCCAGCAGTGAGCAGTCTAGAAACCTATCGCGACCACACGTTTTCTTCGTGCTTGTGCTAGGATATCTGGGGACAAAGCACACACACTGATTCAGCCAGCAACGTGCGGGTCTGTAGATGCTGGGCGTTGGACAGGGAGGGATTAGAGGCTTGGTAATAAGACAACGGGTGTGCTTCAGATACCTAATGGAAACTGGAGAACATGTAGACATTGGCTAAGATGGTTAGCGCATGCATGGCCATATTTTGTTACCTATCGTAAAATTTCTATAAAGTTACCTTGTTCTAGAAAGTTATTTTAGACATTGAAACTCTAGAGAAAGTTGAAGGAAGTCGGAATGCCGATTATATTTCATTAGGATTATACTTCATTAATCTTAGTCGCATCGAAGTGGGGACAACTAAATCGCGTACGGCAGAGGGGTTCTTGTTTCTTGCACTAACCAGAAATAGAGGATTTGCACAGAACCTAGAGCTCACTCGTAATTCACGTCCAGACTCCCGAAATTATGGCGGAGGCTCAGCCGTCCAAACCATCAGACGAGCCTGATGACGCGCAGGAGGTTGACGTTCAGCCGGTAGAATCTATGGCAGAAGCCGGTAAAGACGTTTCGGCAATTTCAGGCCGTGGATGGTTCTTCCTAGACGTTAACCAGCAGAATCAAGGGCCTTATCCAGAGGACCAGATTCCCGGTACGTCTGCTGTCCTCAAAATACTTGACAATTGCTACGTTTGCCTTTGCTCGAGTCGCTAAATATAGTATCGCGAATGGGTAGTCGCTAAAGGCTGAAGCCCCATCCTGATGCCGATTTTCAGAGTACAAACAAAACGGCCGTACGTTTTCTAGAGATAAAGCAGTCGGACAGTCTGTGGTTACCCCTGCCTTGCTATTTCCCTTGCTTTCAGTATCTGACTCCAATCGGCTGAACTCGTTACTCCAACATGTGATTGCTTTCAGGTCTTGTCGCGTACAACTATGTAACGCCTGACACTCTTTTCTGGGCAGAAGGCTGCGCGGAGTGGCTGCCCTTGAAAAGCATTCCTGAACTCGCCGCAGCTTGCGCTGCTTGTGCCGGTGCTGCTGCTTCTGAGCCAGCTGCAGCGGCAGCAGGAGCAGCAGTACCAGTGGCAGCAGCAGCGAATGGAGCAGATTCAAATGCAGCAGCAGGCACAGTAGCAACCGGTGGGGAAATCAAGGCTGGTAGGACTTGGCAATGGGGGGCTCCTGCTGGTGATGGGGGGAGGGGAAAGGGGAATGGGAAGGGGAAGGGGAAGGAGAAAGGGGTCGGGGATGGGGGAGAAGGGGGGGAATGGGGAGCGGAGGATGAGGAGATGCGGAAGTTTCTGGCGGAGATGAAACGGGCAGAGGCGGAAGCAGCTGCTGCGAAACGGGCAGCGAGAAAGAGAGGGCGGGTGGTAGCGGCTCTAGCCCATGGCGCTGATGCTGATGTGGAGGAGGAAGGGGAGGAGGATGAGGAAGAGGAGGATGGGGAGGAGGATGAGGGAGAGGGAGAGGAGGGTGGGGAGGCAGAGGAGGGGAAGGGGGAAGGGAGGAAGGGGCAGGAAGGTGGAAATGCGGATGTGGAAATGACCACTGTAGACGCACAAGACGGGAAGGGACAGCAGCAGGGGCAGGGGAAAGGGGAAGGGCGGCAGGGGCAAGGGCAGGGGGAAGAGGGGGATCCAGCGGAGGGGGACCAATTTGAGGATGATGATGGGACGATCTACCGCTGGGATGCGCGCATGCGCGTGTGGGTGCCTCTGGTGAGTCAGTGAGTGAGTGGGTGAGTGAGTGAGTGAGTGAGTGAGTGAGTGGGTGAGTGAGTGAGTGAGTGAGTTCCTCTAGGTCTTGCTACGCCTGCCCGTCTGCTTACCTGCATCGCCATCCCCCGTCTCCCCTCCTCATAGTACTCTTCTGGGCCCCTGTTGCCTTGTGGTTTACAGGGGGAGCAACTGGTGGGGCCTGCAGCTGCTCCAGTAGGAGAAGCAGCAGGATCAGCAGGATCGGCAAGGGTAGCAGATGTAGCAGCGGGGTACGATCCAGAGCAGATGGTGTTTGTAGAGGACGAGGAGGTTATCCCCTCTCTTGACGCTGCCATTGCGGCTGCTGTGGCTGAGAGGGAGAGAGCGGAGGCGAGTGAGGAGGAGGAGATGGGGGAGGGGCGAGGGGGGGACGGGGAGCGTGGAGGGAAGAAGTGGGGGAAGGGCGGAGAGAAGGAGAAAGGGAAGGGGAAGGGTTGGAAGAAGGGAGAGAAACGAGGCGGGGGTGGGAAGGGGGAGGAAGGAGGAGGAGCGGAGGGAGGGAAGCATTGGGGAGAGATGGAAGGGGGTGGGAAGGGGGAGGAAGGGGGGAAAGAGGGGGCAGGAAAGAAGGAGCAAGGGCAAGAGAAGGAGCACGTGGAAACACGCAAAGAGCTTCAGAAGAAGGCGAGTAGCAGCTTCGTCAACTGACCTGACCCATACAAGTGAAATGATGTTGCATCCTCCCATAATCTCACTGTGTCCGTCCTGTCCTGCCCCATTCCCGCTCGCATCCTTTTGAGTCAACTCAAAAGCATACAAGTGAAATGATGCTGCATCCTCCCATCTTCTCCCTCCAATCTCACTGTGTCCGTCCTGTCCTGCCCCATCCCCGCTCGCATCCTTTCCCGTCTTCTCATCGCCGCATTTCCCACACCTCAACTTTTTGAGAGGTCTCAAAAGCGGCTCCCTTCCTTCCCCAACCCCTGGCGGCCTCCAGTGCCGTTTGAAGCCACGAATGCGTGGCCACCACATCTCAGACACAAGCGAAATGGTTTTAGCTGAAAGTGCAAGTGCCGTTTAGCCGTGCCGTTTAGCCGTGCAAGTGCCGTTTAGCCGTGCCGTTTAGCCGTGCAAGTGCCGTTTAGCCGTGCCGTTTAGCCGTGCCGTTTAGCCGTGCAAGTGCCGTTTAGCCGTGCCGTTTAGCCGTGCAAGTGCCGTTTAGCCGTGCATGCATCTACCTACCTCCTGTTTCTGCTCCCTAACTCTCACCCTCCTCTTCCATTGTCCTCGCTTCTCTTCTCTCCCTCTCCTCACGCCCTATTTCCATTTTAGGTGGCAAACAATGAGCCAAATGAGTGGTTTGAGCTGAAGGTCAATACGAGTGTGTACGTGACGGGTCTGCCCCATGACACTAACGAGGACGAGGTAAGAGGCGCGCTATAGCGAGCACAGGGTGTAGCAGTATGCTTTTTCGCTTTTGTTTCACTCCACTGACACATCTCATACTAACGCGTACATACCCAATTGTGCTTAATGATTCATGTCAAGTCAACCTTACTGTTTTTACCCTACCGTTTCCGTTCCGGGGTCCTGGTTCCCCTGTATGGCAGGTGGCGGAGGTGTTTTCCAAGTGTGGGCTGATTAAAGAGGTAACAACCGATTGCACGTTAAAAGAAATGACTCATTCAAGTGTGGAGCCATTAAAAGAAAATAATAAAGTAAAATAAAATAATAATAATAAAAAAATGCAGGCAGGGACACCCAACCCAACCTTGTCGATGTGTTCTGTGCATCAACGGATTCTTTTGAGTTGAGGTTGAGTCCGTCAAGGCCAAGTAATCTCCTCATGCCCATTCCTTTTCGCCTTGTCTCTCCAGGATTTGGACACGGGCAAGCCGCGGGTGAAGCTGTATCGAGACAAGGAAACAGGCGAGCTCAAGGGGGATGGGCTCATCACGTTCCTCAAGGTGAGTTCCGAGTTTAGGGTCCCAGCACAAGGCGAGCCGGCTAGCATTCCTCTGGTGATGCTGCTCTGGAGTCCTAAACTTGAGTTTCTGAAGCTGGCTGTCTCGGGACAAGGCAACAGGCGAGCTCAAGGGGGATGGGCTCATCACGTTCCTCAAGGTGAGTTCCGAGTTTAGGGTCCCAGCACAAGGCGAGCCGGCTTGCATTCCTCTGGTGATGCTGCTCTGGAGTCCTAAACTTGAGTTTCTGAAGCTGGCTGTCTCGGGACAAGGCAACAGGCGAGCTCAAGGGCGATGGGCTCATCACATTCCTCAAGGTCAGTCTGCTTATACTCGCTAAGGTGATTTCCGGTTGCAGTGTTCAACGTGACCCTGGTTGCATTCCATTTCTTTTTAGTTATATTATTGTCGCTTCTGAGAATTCTCAAGGTGGCTTGATTTTGCGCATCATCAGAAAGCCACGAGTCGAGGATTTTAACACAAGCCACAAGGGATTTTAACACAAGCCACAAGGGATTTTAACACAAGCCACAAGGGATTTTAACACAAGCCACAAGGGATTTTAACACAAGCCACAAGGGATTTTAACACAAGCCACAAGGGATTTTAACACAAGCCACAAGGGATTTTAACACAAGCCACAAGGGATTTTAACACAAGCCACAAGGGATTTTAACACAAGCCACAAGGGATTTTAACACAAGCCACAAGGGATTTTAACACAAGCCACAAGGGATTTTAACACAAGCCACAAGGGATTTTAACACAAGCCACAAGGGATTTTAACACAAGCCACAAGGGATTTTAACACAAGCCACAAGGGATTTTAACACAAGCCACAAGGGATTTTAACACAAGCCACAAGGGATTTTAACACAAGCCACAAGGGATTTTAACACAAGCCACAAGGGATTTTAACACAAGCCACAAGGGATTTTAACACAAGCCACAAGGGATTTTAACACAAGCCACAAGGGATTTTAACACAAGCCACAAGGGATTTTAACACAAGCCACAAGGGATTTTAACACAAGCCACAAGGGATTTTAACACAAGCCACAAGGGATTTTAACACAAGCCACAAGGGATTTTAACATGGATTTTTGAGGCGCCTCAAAAGTCATCAGAAAGCCTCGAGTCCCCCTTTCCCCTGCCTCAGGGAAGAGGGATTTTAACATGGATTTTCCACTTCCCTCTTTCCCCCTCTCTCCCCCCCCTTCTCCATGTTTTCCCCCTCCAGCCGCCCTCAGTGGATCTAGCCCTCAAGATTCTTGACGGCACTCTCCTGAGACCAGGCAGCAAGCATCCCCCCTCCCTGTCCCCCTCTCCCCTTCCCCTCCTCTTCATCCCCCCTTTCCCCCCTCCAGGCCCCCTCGAGATTCTGGACGGCACTCCCCTGAGACCAGGCGACAAACGCCCACCCTCCCTCCCCATTTTCCCGTTCCCATCCTCCCCTTCCCCTCTCCAGCCGCCCTCAGTGGATCTAGCTCTCAAGATTCTTGACGGCACTCCTTTGAGACTAGGCGACAAGCAGCCCATGTCTGTGACTCTGGCCAAGTTCGAGCAGAAAGGTGAGAGATTGGTGGTGAGTGGTGATGAGTGGTGGCGAGTGGTTGTGAGTGGTGAGTCTCTCTGAGACTAGGAGACAAGCAGCCCATGCCTGTGACCCTCGCCAAGTTCGAGCAGAAGGTGAGTGGTGGTGATGGTATGGCAGTGAAGGCCATGGCGAGCTGCAAGGTTCATCCACTTTGTTGCTACTCCACGTTATCTAAAACCTCCCTGCTTCTCCGCGTCCCACCAACCGCGTTCCCACCTCACCCAGGTTCCCAATCTCCCTTGCCATTCTACCTGCCTCTGCCTGCCCTGCCAGGCAGTGTGTTTGTGAAGAACTTTTGAGACGTCTCAAAAGTCGTTCCCACCTCACCCACGTCCCGATCTCCCTTGCCATTCCACCTGCCTCTGCCTGCCCTGCCTGCCAGGCAATGTGTTTGTGAAGAAGGCGAGTGACAAGAACAAGAAGAAGAAGCTCAAGAAGCTCGAGGCCAAGGTGCTGGGATGGGGTGAGTGAATGCCGCACTGCACAACCAGACCAGGTGGGTCATGAGTTGCTGTGTGGCTGCAGAACAGGGTGAGTGCTGCAAGCCCCGCCCCAGCTGGGTCATGGGTTGCTGTGTGATGGCGATGTGTTTGTGAAGAAAGCAAGCGACAAGAACAAGACGAAGAAGCTTAAGAAGCTGGAGGCCAAGGTGCTGGGATGGGGTGAGTGAATGCTACACGCCCCAGGTGGGTCATGGGTTGCTGTGTGTTTGCAGGTCAGGGTGAGGTGAGTGCTGCCCCAGGCTCAGTGGGTGAGTCATGATTTGCGGTGCGATGGCAATGTGTTTGTGAAGAAGGCGAGTGACAAGAACAAGAAGAATGAAGCTCAAGAAGCTCGAGGCCAAGGTGCTGGGATGGGGTGAGTTATCTCCTTATCCCCTCCATCGCACCACGCTTGCTCGCACTAATCCCCTCTGCCCCCATGTAGCAAGGGTGGTTTTGAGACGTCTCAAAAACACCCTCGCTACACGTGGATAAGGTGCTGGGATGGGGTGAGCTATCTCCTTATCCCCTCCATCGCACCACGCTTGCTCGCACTAACCCCCTCTGCCCCCATTTCTGAACCACATGGGAGTGTCAGTATTTTCACATGCTCACATGCGACAACATGGGTTGATGTCCCTTCCCTTGTGTCTTGACCACCCCTTTCTCTTGTTGCATCTCTTCCCCTCACAGGCGGGTCTGACAACGCCAAGCGCACCCTCCCTCCCCGGTGACAGTCGCGCTATTCCACATGCTCACACGCGACGAGGTGGTTAACCACCCCTCTCTGCTCTCCAAGGTAGCCAACCAACCCCCACATGTGTTTCCTTTCCTCCATCCCCATCTCTCCAGGCGGGTCCGACAACGCCAAGCACACCCTCCCTATGACGGTCGCACTCTTCCACATGCTCACACGCGATGAGGTGGTCAATGACCCTTCGTTGCCGGTGGAGCTGGAGGCGGAGGTGCGGGAGGAGTGCGCCAAGATGGGGGTTGTTGAGAGGGTCAAGGTGAGAGGAAGGTGCAGGGTTTGGGGTTTAGGGCGGCTCTTCATTCAACCCAGGAATCACCTCCGGTATCAGCAGTCACACCCTCGCACCCGCCTGACCCCTCACTGCCGGTGGAGCTAGAGGCCGAGGTGCAGGCGGAGTGCACCAAGATGGGCGTTGTTGAGAGGGTCAATGTTTTGAGACGTCTCAAAACAGGGTCAAGGTGAGTCCAGTGATACCACATGCTCTTCGACATGCTCACTCGAGACGAGGTGGTCAATGACCCCTCACTGCCGGTGGAGCTGGAGGCGGAGGTGTGGGAGCAGTGCGCTAAGATGGGGGTTGGTGGAGCGAGTCAAGGTGAGAAGAGGTTTCAGGGTTTGGGGTTTGAAGTTCAGGGTTTTTACGTCAACTCAGTAGTCACGTCAGATATTAAGAAAGCACACCCACCCACCTGGCCCCTAGCTACCAGTGGAGTTAGAAGCAGACGTGCGGGAAGAGTGTGCCATGCCAAGATGGGGGTGTCGGAGCAAGTCAAGATGAGAAGCAAGATATGAAAAAAGTTTAGCAAAGAATTTCTTTCTCGGCCTCGCACAGACCAGCTGTGTTCCCAACCTCTGCTCGTGCCAACCTCTGCTCGTGCCAACCTCTGCTCGTGCCAACCTCTGCTCGTGCCAACCTCTGCTCGTGCCAACCTCTGCTCGTGCCAACCTCTGCTCGTGCCAACCTCTGCTCGTGCCAACCTCTGCTCGTGCCAACCTCTGCTCGTGCCACCCTCTGCTCGTGCCAACCTCTGCTCGTGCCACCCTCTGCTCGTGCCACCCTCTGCTCGTGCCACCCTCTGCTCGTGCCACCCTCTGCTCGTGCCACCCTCTGCTCGTGCCACCCTCTGCTCGTGCCACCCTCTGCTCGTGCCACCCTCTGCTCGTGCCACCCTCTGCTCGTGCCACCCTCTGCTCGTGCCACCCTCTGCTCGTGCCACCCTCTGCTCCTGCCACCCTCTGCTCGTGCCACCCTCCGCTCGTGCCACCCTCTGCTCGTGCCACCCTCTGCTCCTGCCACCCTCCCATATCATCCCAATTTTCCCCTGCCTTATGCCATCAGGTGTACCCCAACCATCCAGACGGCGTGGTGACAGTGAGGTTCAAGGACAAGGCAGCTGCTTTCCACTCCGCCTCGCCTCACAGCATCAACTATTTTCCTCTCCCTCCCATTAACGCCCCACATTCTCTTCATTTCATGGTGCCATCAGGTATACCCCAACCATCCAGACGGCGTGGTGACAGTGAGGTTCAAGGACAAGGCAGCTGCGTTCAAGTGCATAGCAGTCATGAACGGGCGATGGTGAGTGCTGAAGAGCGATGGTGAGTGGTGAAGAGGGATGGTGAGTGGTGACAGTGAGTTGCGTTCAAGTGCATAGAAGTCATGAACAGGCGATGGTGAGTCGTTTATTCATCGTTGCATGCTTTGCTTCGTGTGCTGGCTGTACATAATATTTACTAGGTATGGTTGTATAACATATTGAGCCCTACGTATGCCTTCCCTTCCTGCTCTAGGTTTGGAGGTCGGCAAATATCAGCGGTTGAAGACAAAGGGTTGGTCAACTGGGGGCTTGTGAGGGACGAGGAGGAAGAGGCAAGGAGGTTGGAGCAGTTTGGGGAGGAGTTGGAGGCAGATGAAAAATAGTGTAGCGTACAGTAAAATGGAGTAGTGGAGAAATACAAGAGATAGGAAAACTCAATAATGAAAATAAGGAGGGTCAGGTGGTCGTGTGCCCACCTGATGAGATGTCTGTCAAGCCACAATGCGTTTGGAGTTGAATTTGAGTCTTCCACACGATATGTAGTACATGTGAGCACAGTTTTTGCAGGGCGAGCTTGACCTTCTCTAGGTCTTGTACCGCGTACAATGTGACTGCTAACCCGAATTTCAGATTTCGGGTCCATGTGATTTCAGAATTCTGTCGTCGATTTTGAAACCGAGAGGCCTAGGCGGTTCGACAGGCAAAAGACGGCTAGTCGGCAGCCATGCCGGCCATCACTCGCGCGTCGTTAAACCGCGTGGACGCGGCCGGCGTGTGGTTCGACTGCAACGACGGCTTCGCGCTCCGCGTGACCCCCGTTGCGCGCAACCTCTTCCGCGTGCTCTTCCTCCGCCCCGGCGGCCTCCGCGAGCCGCGCACCTGGTCCGTCTGCTGCGACCGCGCGGACGCGGAATCTGCATCTGTAGCGGCGCAACCCGCAGCGGAATCTCCTTCCGCAGCAGCAGGCGCAGCAGCAGTAGGCGCAGCAGCAGCAGGCGCATCGGGGGCGTTTCAAGTGCCTTTCACAGGCGATCTCCCGCGAAGCCCGCTGCTTCCCTCACCGTACGATCCGCCATGGGAGGGATACGACCGTCTCAACATCCCCTTCGCGCCCATGTATTACTCCGTGGAAGAAACCACAGTGGCGCTGACAGAACAGGGCACTCTCCCGCAATCGGGGAGCGCTATAACGGAGGCTACAGCGCCCCAAGCTCCCGCCGTTACCATCCGAACGTCGCAGCTGATCCTGACCGTCCGTTTGGAGCCGTTTCATCTCTCATGGGCCGTTCCTAGCAGCACCGCACCTGCGGTCGCGGCCCGGCTTATAACGGGGATGAAAACGGACGAAAAGTGCTGCCCTGTTGTTTTCGCAGAGGACAGAGAAAGCTGCCCGTACCGTTTCTCAGACCGTTCCTTCGCGTTTGAACACGCCATGAAACGATGCCCGCCCTCCTCTGCTCATGCCGATGCTGCTTCTGCCGCTTCTGCCGCTTCTGCTGCTGATGCTAATATTGATGCTGCAGTTGCTGCTACTGCTGGTGCTGATGGTGCTGCTACAGCAGCAGCCGCACCAGGAGGCGATTTTTACTTCGGACTTGGCGACAAGACGGGTCCTCTCAACCTGCACTCGCGCCGCCTCGCTATAGGCATGCGCGACGCGCTCGGCTTCGACCCGTTACAAGGCGATCCCCTTTATAAGCACTGGCCGCTGCTGCTGACGCGCGACGCGCGCACGCGCGTGTGCTACGGCCAGCTGTACGACAGCCTGGCGGATGGTGCTGACGTGGACTTGGGGTGCGAGAACAGCAATTATTACGGGCCATACAGAGTGTGGAAAGGAAGAGATGGGGATTTGGATATGTATATGGGGGTGGGGCCAGGGGTCAGAGAGGTGATAGGGACGTTCTCTAGGCTAATGACTGGGGGGTTGAGAGAGAAGAGTGGGAAAAGAGAGGAAGGAGGGGAGGAGAGTGGCGCTGAAGGGAGAGGAAGGGAGAGGGTTGGGGAAGGAAGAGTTAAAGAGAGTGGAATATTGGTGTCTGCATCATTACCATCACCTCCACGAGCCGTAGGGCCCGCTCTGATACCACGGTGGACGCTGGGCCTCCACCTCACCGCCATGCCGCTAGCCGACGCTCCAGATGCGCAGGCGCGCATCTCACGATTCATCTCAGCCGCTCGTTCCACCCACATGCCGGTCAGTGCGTTTCACTTCGGTTCTGGCTACACCATGATTGGCAAGCGCAGGTACGTTTTCCACTGGAACTTAGCTAAGTTTCCGGACCCGCAGGGGCTGGTGGGGGAGATGAGGGGGGCTGGGATGCGGGTGGTAGCGAATGTGAAGCCTTGTATGCTGATGGACCATCCGAGGTATGGTGAAGTGGGTGCGGGGAATGGGTTTGTTTTCTTGAGTGGAGTTGCAGCGGCAGGAGGTGCAGATGGGGTAAAGGGGACAGGAGGAGCAGGGACAGGAGGAGCAGGGACAGGAGGAGCAGGGACAGGAGTGAATGCGGCAGGAGGAGGGGCAGGAGGAGGGGCAGGAGTAGGGGGAGGGGGAGGAGTAGGAGGAGGGGGAGGAAGAGGGGGAGCGGGAGCAGGAGCAGCAGGGTCAGAGAAGGCATCAGGGTCCCTTCCAAAGCCGAGTGCAGCAGAACAGGCAATCCCAGCCGAAGCCACACCGCCTGCCCTTGCTGCTGCCTCAATCCCCTCGGCCTCTGCTGCCGCTACACTGCCTGCTATAAGCCAGTTCTGGGACGGGCTGGGGGCACATTTGGACTTCACCAACCCCACCACCATAGCATGGTGGCAGGCCAACTTGCAGCGAGCGCTGCTCGATGTTGGTATCGAGACTGCATGGAATGACAATAACGAGTATGAGATCTGGGAGGAGGACGCGTGCAGTCACATGTTCGGCCGGCCCGAGCCGCTGTCTCTGCATCGGCCGATCCACGCGCTGATGATGACCCGGGCCTCGTTCGAGCAGCAGGTTCGGGCCGAGCCTGGCCGCCGGCCCTACTCGGTTACCAGAGCTGGAGGATTTGGCATTCAGAGATACGCGCAGACCTGGTCGGGGGATAATTCCACTAGCTGGAAATCACTCAGGTATGGTAACGTTACTTTTATGCTGGGAGAATTGTCAAACAATCTTTTATCAGGATTGGTTTTCGCACGTGGTTTTTGCAATACTTGACTTTCCTTCTTTCGTCTACCAGTTCTTTCAGTTCTACCAATAGAAATCTTCCTCGCCTTAACTTCCTACTTTCCCTTCTTGGGACTACCCAGGTGGAACCTCCGCCTCGGCCTCTGCCTCTCCCTCTCTGGTCTCTTCAACTGCGGTCACGACGTCGGTGGCTTTTCTGGACCTCCTCCCGAGCCTGAGCTTCTGGTTCGGTGGGTCCAAGCCGGCCTGCTGCACCCGCGATTCCTCATGAACAGCTGGAAGCCCGACGGAACCATCACCTGCCCTTGGATGTACCCCGATTCGATCCCAGCCGTCCGTTGGTCCGTGCGGCTGCGATACCGCCTAATCCCATACCTCTACTCTCTCTCCTTCCGAGCCTCTTTTTTTCACGAACCTATAATCCGCCCGACGTTTTACGATTTTCCCGAGGATGACCGATGCTGGAGGGACGGGGAGGAGCTTATGGTGGGACCCATGCTGCTAGCAGCCCCTGTGGTAGAACGTGGGGCACGCCAGAGAAAAGTTTACCTGCCCGGCGGGCAGCCTGGGAGGAAAAGTAGCGCTGGTTCCTCTGAAACCTCAGCTGTGTGTTGCGGATGGTTTGATTTTTACTCGGAGGAGTTTTTCCGGCCCGGGCAGGTTGTGACGGTGGCCGCTCCGCTTGACCGAGTGCCGCTGTTTGTTCGGGCAGGTGGGATAGTGGCAATGACTGAAAGCACGGTGGATTTCAGTGGGTTACATAATGAGGGCTCTAGGGTTCTCAGAGTGTTCCCTCCCCCTGTGGGTTCTGCTGCTGGTGCTGCTGGTGCTGGTGCTGGTGCTGGTGCTGCTAGTGTTGCTGGTGCTGGTGCTGGTGGTTATTCTGCTGCTACTCGCGCTGCTGGCACTGCTGCTGCTGCAGCTGGAGCGTCAGGGGTAGGTGGTGGGGAGAGCCGGTGCGTCTTGTACGAGGACGATGGGGAGACTCTTAAAGGGGACGGAGCAGAGGTGCATGTGTGCATGCAGTGGGACGCACAGAAGGTGGTGGTGACTGTAACGATCGTGCATGTATCGGGAGGAAGTGGAGACGAGAGTGGTGTGGATAGCAGAGGAGAGAGCAGCAGCGGAGGGGAGAGCAGCAGAGGGGAGAGCAGCAGAGGGGAGAGCAGCAGAGGAGGCGGGTATAGAGTCCCTTGGGAGACTCTCAGGGTGGCTTTACCGGCTGCAGACACACGCGAGCTGGTGATACAGTGGGGGGATGGAGATGGAAGCGAGGTGGTGAATGACAAAGGGCAGGTGGTTGGGGTGGAGCAAGGGGCGTTTGTTTGGCACTCGCTGTGACATAGTTGGGGAATGGGTGCCCCTTGTGTAGTGCAAGCCTGGATGGAAGGGGGTGGAAGCGGGGAGGTGAATGATGAAAGCCAGGTGGTTGTTGGTTGGAGTGGAGTGGCGGGGGGGGCGTTGGTGTGGCACTCACTGTGACTGGGTGGGTGGGAGACCTTTGATCAAAGTGTGACCTTTGATCAAAGTGTGACCTTTGATCAAAGTGTGACCTTTGATCAAAGTGTGACCTTTGATCAAAGTGTGACCTTTGATCAAAGTGTGACCTTTGATCAAAGTGTGACCTTTGATCAAAGTGTGACCTTTGATCAAAGTGTGACCTTTGATCAAAGTGTGACCTTTGATCAAAGTGTGACCTTTTATCATCCCACACTTTTTGCCATTGTCAAACGCTAATGAGAATTTGTGAACAAGCAGCCAATATGAATGTGTGCATTTGATTTACATGCATTACCGTACCTAACTAGGGTACTGTATCAGTGTTAACAAGCAGCTGATTTCAAGTGAACTTTTTGCACAAAAGAAAATAAGAAAACAATATCGCACCCTATCATCCAGCTCCTCTCCACACACCCCTTCCCATCCTCTCTCACATCCTGTGCACCTGCAGGCAAGGTACCATTCAACAACAGAGCTTATCCCTTCTGCATGAACTAAGTACCAAATTGGTTAGAACTTAGAATGCCACGTGCCATACCCACAAGACTTCATCTTCCTCTCTAAACTACTGGTAAGTGAAAAGGACAGGAAGGCTGCATTCTCTTTCTCTACCTGCCAAAAGAATATCCACTATCTTCTCTGTACCCACAAGACTTCATCTTCTCCTTGTCTTTTTGCTTGCACGCTCCACCACTCTCTCTCGAGCTGCCCGAACCGGCCTCACATCCCTTTCTTCATCCTCCTCTTCTACCTCCTCTACCTCTTCTCCCTCTTCCCCATCTTCCTCCTCTCCCTCTTCTCTCTCCTCTCCCTCCTCTCCCTCCTCTCCCTCCTCTCTCTCTTCGCCCTCCTCTCCCTCCTCTGCATCCTCTTCTTCCACCACTCGTCCTCTCACTTTCCTCTTCTCTTTTGCTCTCTTCTGCCAGCCCCCATTCCCCCTACTCCTCCCCCTCCGCTCCTCCTCTTCCTCCCCTCCCCCTTCTCCCCCCTCTACCCCCTCTCTCCGTCTCCCCTGTCCTCCTCCTCCTCCCTCTCCTCCTCCCTCTGCTCTTCCCTCGCCTCCTCTCCCACTGTCCGCTTCCCTGCCCGCCTCCTCCTATCCGCCCCCCCTTGACCAGCTGCTTGGGATTGGCTGGGTGGTGCAGGCTCGCCCCCACTGGAAGGCCAGGGGGTATCGCACTGGGGGCACTTGGGGTTCTGGTGAGGGGAGGGAGGGAGGAGAAGGGGAGGTTTGAGGTGCATCTCTCCTATCATTCCCCAGCCCACTCCACCAGCTGCTTGGGATTGGCTGGGTGGTGCAGGCTCGTCCTCACTGGAGGGCCAGGGTGTATCGCACTGGGGGAACTTGGGATTCTGGTGGGGAGTGGAGAGACAGGGGTGCAGGGAGATAAAGAGGAGTTTTGAAGTGCGTTCTCCTATCATTTCCCCCTCAATCGGTTTCGCTGGGTGATGCAGGTTCGCTCTCACTGGAAGGCCAGGGTGTGTCGCACTGGCGGCACTTGGGATTCTGGTAAGAAGAGAAGTGGGAAGGAAGAGAAGATCAATGGGCAGAGGAGTGGAAAAACGAATGGTCAGGGCAAGCGAATACGGTACCACTGGGGGCACTTGGATAGATTCACTCTATCCAATTACCCCCCATTGACCCTCGTTGACTCACCTTGACTCGGTGGAACTTGGCGGTTAGGCAGTACTGGCGCACCCCGTATTCCCCATGAACTCACCTCGACCTCCCGTTGACTTGCATTGACTCACCTTGACTCGATGGAACTTGGCGGGCAGGCAGTACTGGTGCAGGCGGTATTCGCAGCATGGGGACGCACAGCACACAGCCTGCAGGGAGGGAGAGAGAGACAAAGGAGACAAAACACGGATTGAAGTGCAGGCAGCACTGGTGCAGGTAGCACTGGTGCAGGCAGCACTGGTGCAGGTAGCACTGGTGCAGGTAGCACTGGTGCAGGTAGCACTGGTGCAGGTAGCACTGGTGCAGGTAGCACTGGTGCAGGTAGCACTGGTGCAGGTAGCACTGGTGCAGGTAGCACTGGTGCAGGTAGCACTGGTGCAGGTAGCACTGGTGCAGAGTAGTGCTTCCCAGAGGTTCTTTAGGCGCCTTGAAGCCACTTCTGAAATCACACACAAAGGACGGCAGCACCATTTAAACTCAAGGGCACTCAGACTCACTTTGACAACAGCATCATGGCACACGTCGCACACAACCACCCCGTCAATGCTCTTCAGATACTGCTGTAGCTCCAGATACGTCCTTACCCCCAACCCCACACTCCCTTGCACCCCCCTCCTCCCACCACCACTACCGCTACCACCGCCGCCACCGCTGCTGCTGCCGCCACCACTACTGCCACCTCCCCTCCCATCACCACCGTTGATATTGCCATCTCTTGAATCGCTCAAGATGCTGAGCCAATGGTTGTCCGCCAGGTCAGCGATCAAGCGCTCTTTGTCAGTTAGTGAGAGGGTGTGTGTGCGGGCGGCAGGAGGGGAGAGGGGAGGTTGCGAGGACGATGGGGGGAGGGGGTCTTGTGTTGAGTTCGGCTGCATGGGAGGGGTGGGGGAAAGGGCGAATCGAAGGGACGGGGTGGTAAGACAGAGGAGAGGGAAACAGGAAGGGGGAATGTGTAAATGTAACCTAGCAGCACCATGTGTAGGTAGGTAGAAAGAATAGAAACGGTGGGTAGATAGATAGAGGGAGAAGGGATACTTGGGTGAAGCAGGGGTGGTTCTGAAAGCACAACCAAACATCACGTGCTCTTTCCACATGCTGGGATGAGTCAAACACATGACGGCCGGTTTGGCCGTGCTAATGAACAGCACCGTGGGGGGCGATAAACAGAGAGGGGATGGGATGAGTAGAGCTCAGAAACACGTGTAGGAGCAGGTGTGTGTATGGCGCAGGGGTGAGGACCGTGAGTTGCAGCTCCTAGCACCATGTACCTGAGTGGAACTAGGAGCAGGGGTGAGGTGCAGCGCTGCAACGCTGGAGATGCATCCTGAGCCGTTGGATGCGGTTACCACATGCTCCACCAGGCATTTGAAGTACTGAATCTCCTCGTGACTGTACGTCGTGCCCAGCTTCCCCTGGCTGTCTGCCGCCCGGTTGACCACTCCGTACCAAAGCCCGCCGTCCGCCTGGTCGGCTGCCGCCCGCAGCTCCAGCTGCAGCAGCGAGAGGGCGGCGTTGATTCGACCGATTGATGTGAGGAAATCCTCCTGGGGAGACAAAGGGGTGCGGACGGGGGAGGGGGGTGTGAGAGCCGGAAGAGGGGGGGAGCTATGGGGATCCGCCTGGTTGGCTGTAGCTGCAGCTGCAGCAGCGAGAGGGCGGCGTTGATTCGCGCAATGGGAGTGAGGAAATCCCCCTGGAGGGTGGGACGGGGAGAAGGGGAGGGGTATGGTACGGTATGGAATGGTACGGTAATGTATGGAAGCCTGGTCGGCTGTAGCTGCAGCTGCAGCAGCGAGAGGGCGGCGTTGACTCGCGCAATGGGAGTGAGGAAATCCCCCTGGAGGGTGGGACGGGGAGAAGGGGAGGGGTATGGTACGGTATGGAATGGTACGGTCATGTATGGAAGCCTGGTCGGCTGTAGCTGCAGCTGCAGCAGCGAGAGGGCGGCGTTGACTCGCGCAATGGGAGTGAGGAAATCCCCCTGGAGGGTGGGACGGGGAGAAGGGGAGGGGTATGGTACGGTATGGAATGGTACGGTCATGTATGGAAGCCTGGTCGGCTGTAGCTGCAGCTGCAGCAGCGAGAGGGCGGCGTTGATTCGCGCAATGGAGGTGAGGAAATCCCCCTGGAGGGTGGGACGGGAAGAAGGAGAGGGGTATGGTACGGTATGAAATGGCATGGGAGCTGTAATAGTGAAATCTGAGGACTGCGGCAGTGAGAGGGCGGCGTTGATGCGCGTGATGGAGGTGAGAAAGTCTTCCCTGGGGAGTGCAAATGGGGAAAGAAGGGAGGAAGTGAGGAGGGGAGAGTATGGTATGGGAGTCGGTACAGGAGGGTACGAGGGTTGCAACAGTGAGAGGGTGGCGTTGATGCGCGCGATGGAGGCGAGAAAGTCTTCCTGGGGGGTGGGATGGTTGAATTGAGAAGAGTGGGGGGGAAGGGGGGAAGGGGGAGGGTGGTATGGGATCCAGGAAAAGGGGGTTGGAGATGCAGCAGCGCACGGGCGGCGTCCATTCCCCCAAAACTCAGCTGTGAGAAAAAATCACCTGCCTGCGCTGCGAGTCGCCTGCGACGGAGACCCAGATGTCGCGATAAATCACCAGTTAGATGCCACGGATTCAATACATGGCTGCCTGGAAACCACCTCCCCTGAAAAGCACCTTCCCCGGAAATCACCTGCCTGCGAGTCGCCGGCGACGGAGGCCCAGATGTCGCGATGGAGCTTCTTCGCGTGAGCCTCCTTGGCGGGTCCGCGACTCATGAGCGACTGCACGAGCGCGTGATGGCGAGCTTCGAGAACCATTGCGACGGAATGCGAGGGAAGGCGACGAAATGCGACGAGATGCGACGGGATGCGCCGAATTCGACACGATCATGCGACGGACGTGGTACAATGCAATGACGTAGACTAGTCCTTAGCCTGACGGAGGTGAGAGGGTCCTCGACTCATCGGGTGACTGAGGGCGTGGTAAAGCGGGCTTAAACTTGCACGCTACTGTGACTTTTGAGTCGACTCAATAGTCACCTTGGTACAACGCGAGAACGAAGACTACTCCTAAGCCTGACTGATCTTTATGAGAGGGCCCTCGACTCATCGGGTGACTGACAGGGCGTGGTAAAGCGGGCCACTTGCGCGCCACTTTTTGCACCATGGCATGGTGATGCGATGCGACACTAGGCGACGGGATGCGACGCGGGCTGTTGCGGCTTGAAGAAGTGCAGGAATCCCCAAGGCAAATCCTCGTGAGGACTAGAAGGACGAGCTATGCAAGCCACCAGCGAGAACTCGCAGCGAAATCTCTCGTAATCAAATTTTCATACTGAAGGTCAGACTCGGACGCTCATTCTTAGAGAATATTTATTTTCTCTACACGCAATGTATGGAGCTGTAGGTTGAATGATTCGCAGTCACAGCTCCATTACTTTGTGAAGGTGAATGCATTCGGGTAAAGTATCCTGACTTGCTCCCTGCATGAGGCATACACAAAATTGATGGAATATCAAAATTGGATGGAATATCTAAATTGATGGAATACGGTATCTAAATTGGTGGTAATTGTGCAACCAACATGCAGTCCAGTCACTTGAGTGAAGCGTAAATGTTGTTGACAGCCTGTGAAAGCTCCTTCACTCGCTTCTCAATATTGCTCCGGTGCTTGTCGTGTAACCGTAACCCCCACTTCTGCATAAACTTGTCTGCATTTGTGGGAAAGGGGTCAGGGAAGGGGAGAGACCGAAAAATTAATACCATTTGCATCTCTTAGCTCGTGATGCTGTGATGACACCTAGTGCGTACGAATAAACCTGGCTTGAAAGGACATTGGCTGGCACACAGGAGGGAAGATAGTGACTGAGCAGGTCTAGTGTGTGAGTCTAGTCCAGCCCACTCAAGCCAGAGCACTACACGTACCAGGGTGCCACGTAATCTTATCTCAAACAGGGTGCCAGCATGTACCAATCAGAGGACACATGCCAGCGAGGGCAGGACGTACCATCAAAACCACGCCACACACCAATAAGACCACGACAGAGAGACAAGTTTCCTTACCAGGATGCCATCGCACCACCTCCTCTCTCCTCCTCTTCCGGTGCTGCTCCTTGGGCACACAACAAAGTCAAGGTTTCCTACCATGACACCATAAATAAAGACAGGATTGCTTACCAGGATGCCATCGCACCACCTCCTCTCTCATCCTCCTCTGGTGCTGCTCCTTGGGCACGCCATGCAGAATCACATGCTTCAGCTCCTCTGCTCCCCCATGACATGTAACGCTGAGATCACAAACACACCAATGAAATCACAGCAAAGAGCCAATGGCACGTACCAGGATGCCATCGCACCACCTCCTCTCTCATCCTCCTCCGGTGCTGCTCCTTGGGAACGCCATGCAGAATCACATGCTTCAGCTCCTCCTCCCCCCCACCCACCACTGGGAACGGCACATCAGCCATGGTTATCCCCATGTCACATGACTTAGCGAATCTCCTCCATCGCTCATCATAATCCTCCTGTTTCTGTACAGTCTTCTTTTTCTGCACTTGCTCCTTGATCGCTGCTCTCCATGCCTTATCTTTGGCCTGTTCTGCCTCCAGAACCTTCCTCGCTTCTTCTTCCCGTATCTTCCGTTCCTCCTCCCACCGTCTCCGCTTGTCCGCTTCCTCCTCCCGCTTCGCTCCAAAAACTGCCGCCCGGTGGCTCTCCTCGTCCCTTCTCATCCTGTTCTTCATTTGAGCTGCCACATCATCCCTCCAAGCGTCATCAGCTCCCCAAGGCCCGGCACCGAACCTGTCGGATTGGGACCCGAACCTGTGGTACCGAGCCTCAGCAGCTGCTGCCTCTGAATTGTCCTCGGGATCTCCCCACAATGCAGGATTGTTCGAACCATTACCATAACCACCACCACCACCACCAAAGTACCCCTCATTATCACTCCCCTCTCCCCACACGCTCCCAGCTTTTTCCAAGGCTGCTTCCGCGGTTCGGCGCCGCAAATCCATCAGCCGGTGCTGCACGAGTGCCTCGGGAGTCTCCCCAGCCAGATTCCGAGCCTGCATGTCAGCTCCGGCCTCCCTCAGCAGCTGGATCACCGAGGCATGACCCATCCTAGCAGCCACGTGGACAGGCGTATTCCCTCTGTTATCTTGCACTGATACCATATTCAATCGTTCCTTCTGGTCCTTACTGGACCTTTTCAAGTGTCGACTAGACTTCTTGTCAGGATGACATACCTCCTTATTTCTCCCGAGTTTAAGGAGGTATTTAACGAGATCAGCACAGCCTGAGTGGGCTGCGTGGTGGAGGGCAGTCCATCCCTGAGCGTCTGTACTAGTCAGATCCACACGAAGGTTCCTGGAAGACGGCCGCTTCTCCCTCCGTTTTCTACGTCTTCTATTTGACGAATTACTCTTCCTGTGCTTGTCAGTGCGCCTGCTGCCCTTGTCCTCCCGCTCCTCTCGTTTATCCCGTTTCTCCCGGTTCTCCCCTAACTCCCTCCCCCTCCCCTCTCCCTTATCTCGCCGCTTTCCCTTGTGCTCACGAGGGGATGGAGAACGGACGTCTCTGTTTCGTTTCTTCTTACCCTGCTCCTCATCCTGCTCCTCGTCCCCCTCATCACCCCCCTCCTTCTCCTGCCTTCGTCTCTTCCTACTCCCTGCCGCTCTCTGCTCAGACTCGCCCGAATCTGAATCTGATCCGGATTCTGATTCTGAATAGACATTCAAATCTGCACTCGATTCCGAATCTGAACCCGAATCAAAATCAGAATCTGATGACCTATCTCGGCGTTTCCTCCTCCTTGTACTTTTCCCGCCTCTCCTCTTTCCTACACCTTTCCTTCTTCTCTTCTTCCTGCTGCCGCTGCTCCTACTCCGGGAGCTGCTACTATCCCTTTCGCTAGAATCACGCCCGTTACTGTCACTTCGCCTCCTCGATCGTCCTCGACCCCTCCGACCCCTTTTCGGTTCGTCTGACTCAGAAGAAGCAGCTGCTGAGCTGGACGAACTCGAATCCGACCATCCGGACGAGTCTGAAACCGAATATTCAGATGCGCCAGACGCCGACGATCGCCCCGCTGCGTCTTTCAAGAGAGCTTTAATCTTCTTTAAAGACCCCTGCGCGGAGTATTCGATCAGCTTCCGGCGAATTCTAGCGCTGCTGCTCATGCCAGTCTGCTGTCAGACAATACGGAGAGGTATAGCAGTGACAAAAGACTTTTGAGTCAACACACAGGTCACCTGCGAATTCTAGCGCTGCTGCTCATGCCAGTCTGCCGCGTGACAATACGAATAGGTAAAGCACGGACAGGAGACGATTATCGAGGCACCTAGAGAATGAAGCGCCAGGAAAGAAGAGCGCTACAGGTGAAGGCTGAAGCTGCTCGACAACGCGCGCGGAAAATCGCTCGAATTCTGCGACCGATAAAAAGTATCATAAGCCCGAAAAGCACCTGAGAAACTAGCCACCTGCTTTTCAAGGTCTACTCTGGACCATACTGAAAATGAACTCAGCCAATAATGCTCAGCAGGAAGAAGCAATCTTGACACTGCAGGCCGAAACGCCTGACACGCTACCGTATTGCATCCACGCGCAATCTTGCTGCACCTCGAGGAGTCGTACACAACCTCTCGCAACCGCAACAGGCAAACCAGCCTGAAAATTCCTCTACTTTTACCGACTCGCTACATGATAAGCGCGCAATGAGCTGTCAAAGACTTAGATTTACTCTATTACTACAACATCCAAATGCCTACCCTAACCTGCACAGCGTTCAGTTCATATTGTTAAGTGGACCTCCCAGTTACGAAAACGGACCTCCCAACTACGAAAACAACTAGGTACAAAATGCTTGTGCGTCTAAAATTGTGAATCCTTTTGCCATCACAGTCTACAGTGCCATTATAGGTCGTTTTGGCCAGGGTTACAAATATAGACCAGACACTCGTGCTGGGGACGAAGTTGACGCACTTTGAGCCGGGGAGGAGGTTTTGGTGGGGGGTGGAGGAGTAGCAGACGCTCGTTCTGGCTGCTGCTGCATCACTGACTGAAGGCCTCCTCCCTCCCATCCGAGCCTAAGCATCTGATCCACCATCTTCACACTTAGCTGAAAGACGCGCGTGGTGCGGGTTGGAGGATGGAAAGGATAAATGATTAGGATGCTTGATTAGTGGGCTTTATGCTACACGACAAGGTGGAGTGGAAAGGCACATGGAAAAGACTTGCCGAGAAAACAGAGGGTGCCAATTTACCTTATAATGAATCATCATCAGGAAGGCGGCGGAAATAAACGCTTACAATTGGGTTACTGTAGAGAATGAGGTGGCCCGGGGAGAGAACAACAGAAGCAGAGCAGATGAGGTTGGTGTTATCTGCTGACAGGGCTAGCGCTGTCACATCGCTGCTCTCAGGCAGCTTGAAGCGATACAGGGCCTGCTTGAATGGAATGGAGTAGAGGAGGAAGAGATATGGTGGTCGGGAGACACGGGCAGTGCTAGCACCTTGTTGCACTGGTACAGAGGATGCTTATACGGAGGACATGCAGGTACAGTGAGTCGTGTGAAAGGTGAAGTGTATTCCCAGTGTGCAGTTATGGAGGTTCATCAATAGCAGCACATACCACCAACACGCATTCAAGGCCTGTATCTTGAGTCTTGAGCCAACTTGCAAACCATTCAAAGCCTGTACCTTGCGAGGGATTTTGAGGCGCCTTAAAAAAGCATTCAGAATCCGTACTTACCTTGAGAGTGAAGATTTCAAGCAGCGAAATGGCCGACCCTCTCTCCCTCTTGGACCCTCCTTCATCCGAATCCCTCCAGTTCAGCAGCCCTTCTTCCTCAAACGGCTCCTTCCCATCCCCCCATCTCCCCACCCCCTCTCCCTCCTCCTCTCTCTCTCCTCCTGCTCCACTCTTCCCGCTCTTCCCGCTTGTCTCCTCCCCGCCGACCTTCCTCACTCCCACACTCTTTCCCACCACCACAGCAGCCCTCTGCCGCTCCCTCTCCCTTTCCTTCTCCCTCGTGTATCGCCACCTAGTGCAATCCGTCCCCACCACCACATACAACCCATCTGCAGAGATCTGCACTGCACTCACATCCCCATCCTCCTCAGGAACCCCCACAGCCGCCACCGGCTCTGCATTAATCGTGAAAACTCTTAGCGCGCGCTTAGCTGATTCCCACACCACCACCAGCCCCTCGGGAGAAATCGCGAGCACGTCTGCCCGGGCGACCCCGGGCAGGGCGCGAAGAAACTTTCCGCGCATAATCGAGTGTAGAAGAACGCCCGAGGAAAGAGAGGAGGAGGCGGCAATATCTAGGTCCGAGGACACGGCACAGCACACCACCTCATCTGTATGCCCTCTCAGCACATGCACGGGACCTTCCAGTCGCCTCAGCTTCTTCTTGACTTGCTCTATAGACGCCCGGCCGGCAGCGAGACTAGAAGCAGCGAGCCCAGAGAGCATCCTACCAGCGAGACTAGCAGCATTAGGCGAATCGCTGCCGCTACCTCGCCTCCTCCGCGCCTCCTTCCCCCTCTCCTCATCTTCCTCCTCCTCGTCCTCCTCTCTCCTACTCGCTGCTTCAGGCGACGACACAAGGGATGGATCGTGCGGCCCTCCCGTGAATCCCTGAGAAGCAGCACTATCCGCCGTTCCCAGCATGCTGGCAGCGAGGCTCGAAGCAGCAGCAGCGAGCGAAGCCGAGGAGTTCACATGCCACAGCATCACTGTCCCATCTGCTGCCCCTGTAACCAAAGTTGCTCCTTCAGGGGATAGGCTCAGAGAGGTCACAGGAGCGGTATGCACCACTGCTGACTCGACCACTCGGGTGGTATCCACTGAGATTAGCTTCACAGAACAGTCCGCGTGGCCGCCCGTGATCAGATTCTTGCCGTCCGGCGTGATCACCATGAGCTCCTTTGGGCGGCGAATGCCCCTCGCAGGGAGAGCGAGTAGACGTGGGTAAATCGATGTTTCAGAAGCCATTCCTCCTCCTCCTCCTCCGCCCCCTCCCCCTCCTGCCCCTCCCCCTCCTGCTCCACCTGCCCCCGAACCAACTCCCCCCAACCCTCCACCTGCCCCGGCCGAACCTCCGAAGCCGCTTCCGCCGATTCCCATACCTAGCCCTGCCACTATGCCGCCCGCACCGAACCCCGGGGCGGAGCTTTTCAGCATGCGGAGCAGCGCGCCGCCCGAAAGCGACGCCCGCCCGGGCTGGAACAGAAAAGGCCAACCGTGGCCGTCCGGCGTGTTGGGCTGCCATTGGTGCACGGCGATGTGACAGGCTGGCACGTTGTGATCGACGGTGATGATTGCATCTGACGTGGCGTGCAGCCGGGCGGCCGGCACATTGAGGGTCTCGGGGCGGGGGAGCACATAGGGAAGAATCTCATTGGGTTTGCGGAATATGGTCTGGGGGATGGGCGGGGGGATGGGGGGAGAGAAGAGGGGGAAGGAGGGGCAGTTGGAAGGGGGGATGGGAGGGAGGTTAAGTAGGGAGCAAGGGCACGTTGAGGGTCTTGGGGCGGGGGAGCACATAGGGGAGAATCTCGTTGGGCTTGCGGAATATGGTCTGGGAGGGGGGGGGGGGAGGAGGAGGGGGGGTAAGGGAGTAGAAAAGGAGAGGAAAGGAGAGGGGAGTGGGTGGGGTGTGAGAGCGTGAGGGAGCAAGGAAAAGGGAGAAAAGTGTATGTGTGAGCAGGTCAATACCACCGAGGAAAAGGGAGAAAAGTGTATGTGTGAGCAGGTCAATACCACCGAGGAAAAGGGAGAAAAGTGTATGTGTGTTAACAAAAGCTTGAGCAGGTCAATACCACCGAGCCACATACATGCAGGTAAAGATCTCGGTCTAGAGGATAACTGTACAAATTAGCTGAGGACAGCCAATCACATAGTTACATGTATGGGTCAATAGTGGATGGGTTTAAATCGAGGTACGTACATGCAGGTGCAGGGCTCGGTCAAGAGGGATGCGCTTGGGGTGAGGAGCGGTGAAGAGGTGTGAGGGCGTCTGGCCGAAGTACTTGATCTGGTCCTGCAGGCCTTGACGAGTGACCTGGGGCATTGTGGAAGGGGAGGGAAATATGGAAGGGCAGGGACAGGTAGTGAGGATATATGGACGAGTGACCTGGGGAAAGAAGGAAGGACACGGCACGGACAAACGGTGAGGATGAGAGGATTTTGTGAAAAACAATTTACAACACTAAAACACACAGCCCCCACACACGCAAAGAAGAACACAATGTGACCTTGAGTCGATCAATTTCACTCACGGGATCGTGAACCAAGTCGATATCAACAGCCCCCTCGTAGGTTACATAAAGAACACGTTGTGTGCCTTTGAATAAGGAGGACCGTACTTAGAAAGAGAAGCGCGCACTATTCTACTCACAGTGTCGTGAACCGAGTCGATATCAACAGCCCCCTCGTAGGTCACATAGAAGAACACGTTGTGCGCCTTCACTGCCTCTTGCCCCGCCTGCTTGTACCTGCATGGTGGGAAAAGGGGGAGAGGATTGGGGCAGGGGCCAAGAGAGTGGGATAGAGAATGAGCTGGAGCGAGATGGATTGAACACCACATTGTGCACCTTCACTGCCTCTTGCCCCGTCTGCTTGTACCTGCATGGTGGGTGGGAAGGGGAGGGGGGTTGTGGGGGACAAGATAGTGGGATAGAGATCGAATTAGGGTGAGATGGACTGAACAACACAGCACCGTTGGTGCGCCTTCACTGTCTCTTGCCCCGTCTGCTTGGAAGGGGAGGGAGGAGGAGGAATTAAGGTAGTAAGACAGAGATGGAGCTGGGGTGGGGTAGAAGGAATGAAAATACCTTGTGCACCCTCACTGCCTCTCTCTGTCCCTCACTGCCTCTCTCTGTCCCTGTCTGCATGACATGCACAGTGGAAAGGTAACTATATAAGATCTATTTCGCTCCGAGCCCCCAAATAAAGACAGTTAAACAAACGGAGATGTGGTCCAGGAGTTCAGATACCAGCGGCAACCCGATCCAACGGTGCACGTCGCACGTACCCGAAGATGAGGTCGATCCAATGGTGCAGATTGCTGCTGACGTATTCGCTCTCCAGTGCCGCCCGCTGCTTGTGCACAAAGTCAACCGCGCTGTCAGCCCAGGGCGGCAGGATCACATCTCCGATCTCTTCTCCTTGCTGTGTCGAGCCTAAAGAAAGCCCGTTGACGTTCTGAAACATCTCTGGGAGGCAAAACCACTCGGGGATCTGCAAAGGGAAGCAAAGGGGAAAAAGGAGAGGGTTGGGATGGGTGGAGAGGGAGGGAGAGGCAAGTCAACCGCGCTGCCAGCCCAGGAGGGCAGCACCACGTCCCCGATCTCCTCACCTTGCTGTGTTGTTCCCAACGCAAGCCTGCTGACATTCTGAAACATCTCAGGTAGGCAGAACCACTCGGAAATCTGCTGACTGGAGCTGCAGTTCCGCCTGGGGGACTGGAGCTGCAGTCCCGCCTTGGGGACTGGAGCTGCAGTTCCGCCTGGGGGACTGGAGCTGCAGTCCCGCCTTGGGGACTGGAGCTGCAGTCCCGGCTTGGGGACTGGAGCTGCAGTCCCGGCTTGGGGACTGGAGCTGCAGTCCCGGCTTGGGGACTGGAGCTGCAGTCCCGCCTTGAGGACTGGAGCTGCAGTCCCGCCTGGGGGACTGGAGCTGCAGTCCCGCCTTGGGGACTGGAGCTGCAGTCCCGCCTGGGGGACTGGAGCTGCAGTCCCGCCTGGGGGACTGGAGCTGCAGTCCCGCCTGGGGGACTGGAGCTGCAGTCCCGCCTGGGGGACTGGAGCTGCAGTCCCGCCTGGGGGACTGGAGCTGCAGTCCCGCCTGGGGGACTGGAGCTGCAGTCCCGCCTGGGGGACTGGAGCTGCAGTCCCGCCTTGGGGACTGGAGCTGCAGTCCCGGCTTGGGGACTGGAGCTGCAGTCCCGGCTTGGGGACTGGAGCTGCAGTCCCGGCTTGGGGACTGGAGCTGCAGTCCCGCCTTGAGGACTGGAGCTGCAGTCCCGCCTGGGGGACTGGAGCTGCAGTCCCGCCTTGGGGACTGGAGCTGCAGTCCCGCCTGGGGGACTGGAGCTGCAGTCCCGCCTGGGGGACTGGAGCTGCAGTCCCGCCTGGGGGACTGGAGCTGCAGTCCCGCCTGGGGGACTGGAGCTGCAGTCCCGCCTGGGGGACTGGAGCTGCAGTCCCGCCTGGGGGACTGGAGCTGCAGTCCCGCCTGGGGGACTGGAGCTGCAGTCCCGCCTTGGGGACTGGAGCTGCAGTCCCGCCTGGGGGACTGGAGCTGCAGTCCCGCCTTGGGGACTGGAGCTGCAGTCCCGCCTTGGGGACTGGTGCTGCAGTCCCGCCTTGGGGACTGGAGCTGCAGTCCCGCCTTGGGGACTGGGGCTGCAGTCCCGCCTGGGGGACTGGAGCTGCAGTCCGGCCTGGGGGACTGGAGCTGCAGTCCCGCCTTGGGGACTGGTGCTGCAGTCCCGCCTTGGGGACTGGTGCTGCAGTCCCGCCTGGGGGACTGGAGCTGCAGTCCCTCCTGGGGGACTGGAGCTGCAGTCCCGCCTTGGGGACTGGAGCTGCAGTCCCGCCTGGGGGACTGGAGCTGCTGTCCCGCCTGGGTACTGGAGCTGCAGTCCCGCCTGGGGGACTGGAGATGCAGTCCCGCCTGGGGGACTGGAGCTGCAGTCCCTCCTGGGGGACTGGAGCTGCAGTCCCGCCTTGGGGACTGGAGCTGCAGTCCCGCCTTGGGGACTGGAGATGCAGTCCCGCCTTGGGGACTGGAGCTGCAGTACCGCCTGGGGGATTGGAGCTGCAGTCCCGCCTTGGGGACTGGAGCTGCAGTCCCGGCTTGGGGACTGGAGCTGCAGTCCCGGCTTGGGGACTGGAGCTGCAGTCCCGGCTTGGGGACTGGAGCTGCAGTCCCGGCTTGGGGACTGGAGCTGCAGTCCCGGCTTGGGGACTGGAGCTGCAGTCCCGGCTTGGGGACTGGAGCTGCAGTCCCGCCTGGGGGACTGGAGCTGCAGTCCCGCCTTGGGGACTGGAGCTGCAGTCCCGCCTTGGGGACTGGAGATGCAGTCCCGCCTTGGGGACTGGAGCTGCAGTACCGCCTGGGGGATTGGAGCTGCAGTCCCGCCTTGGGGACTGGAGCTGCAGTCCCGGCTTGGGGACTGGAGCTGCAGTCCCGGCTTGGGGACTGGAGCTGCAGTCCCGGCTTGGGGACTGGAGCTGCAGTCCCGGCTTGGGGACTGGAGCTGCAGTCCCGGCTTGGGGACTGGAGCTGCAGTCCCGGCTTGGGGACTGGAGCTGCAGTCCCGCCTGGGGGACTGGAGCTGCAGTCCCGCCTTGGGGAATGGAGCTGCAGTCCCGCCTGGGGGACTGGAGCAGCAGTCCCGCCTTGGGGACTGGAGCTGCAGTCCCGGCTTGGGGACTGGAGCTGCAGTCCCGGCTTGGGGACTGGAGCTGCAGTCCCGGCTTGGGGACTGGAGCTGCAGTCCCGGCTTGGGGACTGGAGCTGCAGTCTCGCCTTGGGGACTGGAGCTGCAGTCCCGGCTTGGGGACTGGAGCTGCAGTCCCGCTTTGGGGACAGGAGCTGCAGTCCCGCCTGGGGGACAGGAGCTGCAGTCCCGCCTTGGGGACTGGAGCTGCAGTCCCGGCTTGGGGACTGGAGCTGCAGTCCCGGCTTGGGGACTGGAGCTGCAGTCCCGCCTGGGGGACTGGAGCTGCAGTCCCGTCTGGGGGACTGGAGCTGCAGTCCCGCCTGGGGGACTGGAGCTGCAGTCCCGCCTTGGGGACTGGAGCTGCAGTCCCGCCTGGGGGACTGGAGCTGCAGTCCCGCCTTGGGGACTGGAGCTGCAGTCCCGCCTGGGGGACTGGAGCTGCAGTCCCGCCTTGGGGACTGGAGCTGCAGTCCCGGCTTGGGGACTGGAGCTGCAGTCCCGCTTGGGGACTGGAGCTGCAGTCCCGCCTGGGGGACTGGAGCTGCAGTCCCGCCTGGGGGACTGGAGCTGCAGTCCCGCCTGGGGGACTGGAGCTGCAGTCCCTCCTGGGGGACTGGAGCTGCAGTCCCGCCCTGGGGACTGGAGCTGCAGTCCCGCCTTGGGGACTGGAGCTGCAGTCCCGCCTGGGGGACTGGAGCTGCAGTCCCGCCTTGGGGAATGGAGCTGCAGTCCCGCCTGGGGGACTGGAGCTGCAGTCCCGCCTTGGGGACTGGAGCTGCAGTCCCGGCTTGGGGACTGGAGCTGCAGTCCCGGCTTGGGGACTGGAGCTGCAGTCCCGCCTTTGCGACTGGAGCTGCAGTCCCGCCTTGGGGACTGGAGCTGCAGTCCCGGCTTGGGGACTGGGGCTGCAGTCCCGCCTTGGCGACTGGAGCTGCAGTCCCGCCTTGGGGACTGGAGCTACAGTCCCGCCTGGGGGATTGGAGCTGCTGTCCCGCCTTGGGGACTGGAGCTGCAGTCCCGCCATGGGGACTGGAGCTGCAGTCCCGCCTTGGGGACTGGAGCTGCAGTCGCGCCTTGGGGACTGGAGCTGCAGTCCCGGCTTGGGGACTGGAGCTGCAGTCCCGGCTTGGGGACTGGAGCTGCAGTCCCGGCTTGGGGACTGGAGCTGCAGTCCCGCCTGGGGGACTGGAGCTGCAGTCCCGCCTGGGGGACTGGAGCTGCAGTCCCGCCTGGGGGACAGGAGCTGCAGTCCCGCCTGGGGGACTGGAGCTGCAGTCCCGCCTTGGGGACTGGAGCTGCAGTCCCGGCTTGGGGACTGGAGCTGCAGTCCCGGCTTGGGGACTGGAGCTGCAGTCCCGGCTTGGGGACTGGAGCTGCAGTCCCGGCTTGGGGACTGGAGCTGCAGTCCCGGCTTGGGGACTGGAGCTGCAGTCCCGCCTTGAGGACTGGAGCTGCAGTCCCGGCTTGGGGACTGGAGCTGCAGTCCCGGCTTGGGGACTGGAGCTGCAGTCCCGCCTGGGGGACTGGAGCTGCAGTCCCGCTTGGGGACTGGAGCTGCAGTCCCGCCTGGGGGACTGGAGCTGCAGTCCCGCCTGGGGGACTGGAGCTGCAGTCCCGCCTTGGGGACTGGAGCTGCAGTCCCGGCTTGGGGACTGGAGCTGCAGTCCCGCCTTGGGGACTGGTGCTGCAGTCCCGCCTTGGGGACTGGTGCTGCAGTCCCGCCTTGGGGACTGGAGCTGCAGTCCCGGCTTGGGGACTGGAGCTGCAGTCCCGCCTGGGGGACTGGAGCTGCAGTCCGGCCTGGGGGACTGGAGCTGCAGTCCCGCCTTGGGGACTGGTGCTGCAGTCCCGCCTTGGGGACTGGTGCTGCAGTCCCGCCTGGGGGACTGGAGCTGCAGTCCCTCCTGGGGGACTGGAGCTGCAGTCCCGCCTTGGGGACTGGAGCTGCAGTCCCGCCTGGGGGACTGGAGCTGCAGTCCCGCCTTGGGGACTGGAGCTGCAGTCCCGCTTTGGGGACTGGAGCTGCAGTCCCGCCTGGGGGACTGGAGCTGCAGTCCCGCCTGGGGGACTGGAGCTGCAGTCCCGCCTGGGGGACTGGAGCTGCAGTCCCGCCTGGGGGACTGGTGCTGCAGTCCCGCCTTGGGGACTGGGGCTGCAGTCCCGCCTTGGGGACTGGAGCTGCAGTCCCGGCTTGGGGACTGGAGCTGCAGTCCCGGCTTGGGGACTGGAGCTGCAGTCCCGGCTTGGGGACTGGAGCTGCAGTCCCGCCTGGGGGACTGGAGCTGCAGTCCCGCCTGGGGGACTGGAGCTGCAGTCCCGCCTGGGGGACAGGAGCTGCAGTCCCGCCTGGGGGACTGGAGCTGCAGTCCCGCCTTGGGGACTGGAGCTGCAGTCCCGGCTTGGGGACTGGAGCTGCAGTCCCGGCTTGGGGACTGGAGCTGCAGTCCCGGCTTGGGGACTGGAGCTGCAGTCCCGGCTTGGGGACTGGAGCTGCAGTCCCGGCTTGGGGACTGGAGCTGCAGTCCCGCCTTGAGGACTGGAGCTGCAGTCCCGGCTTGGGGACTGGAGCTGCAGTCCCGGCTTGGGGACTGGAGCTGCAGTCCCGCCTGGGGGACTGGAGCTGCAGTCCCGCTTGGGGACTGGAGCTGCAGTCCCGCCTGGGGGACTGGAGCTGCAGTCCCGCCTGGGGGACTGGAGCTGCAGTCCCGCCTTGGGGACTGGAGCTGCAGTCCCGGCTTGGGGACTGGAGCTGCAGTCCCGCCTTGGGGACTGGTGCTGCAGTCCCGCCTTG